AGGTTTTTTAAATGAAAATGCTTCGACTCTGTAGGTAGTTTTTGTGGAAAAAACCTAATGCTCACTTCAATAATTTCATTAATTTCATTGGAAAGAAAACAAAACTGCATGGGTTTCAAGATGACTGGATGGATTTCTACCAACTCAAAACCAGATACCACAGTGACATTTCATTATTAAGTTATATTTTTTCCATTATTGCCTCAAAACAGGTTCGTATTCAGACAAAATATTAATGAATCTATAACCACCATCCCCAATATAATATAGTCCAATATTATAAAGCAGGTTCTAACAGAAGAATTGTGGGTTTATATTAGTGGAGATAAGTGCAAAAACTTTTGGTGATTTTGAGTGAATGAACAATCCCCCTAAATCCACCACTGTTCGTTGTTCATTCATGCAAGGCGAAAATCATTTTTCGTCGTTTTTTCCACACCTGCCTTTAATTTGATAAAACATATTGTTTTCCTTGAAAATGAAATGTATTGTTCGAGTGTTTAGGATGAATGATTTTTCACAGTTAACGCGATTACATGGGCTAGTGAGATGGGCTCGTGCATTTTTTCAATTTCTGACCATTTTATGGATAAATTGGATTTCGATGTTCGAACGTAACGGCCCATTTGGAACATCCGTTTTTCGGAATTCGAAAAAAATTTTTGGGGCAATTAGAGCGTGATGCACACGCGGGGAGAGAACGTATAATGAGTCGGGTTAATAATTTTCAATACGACCGGAGCAAACGCAAAAGTAATTTCGATTAATCTGGCATATAAAAAGATAGGAATCGGTCGTAATAAATATCTAATAAAAACATTAAAAGCAGGAAATTGCATAAATTCGTGTCTGGTATTCGGTTCGGCGTCGACCGCCTTACCTGGATCAATAAATATATTGTTTCCCTCCACGTGAAAGCGGGCGAATTTAAATTTAAAACAAACAGCGCGGAGGAGTCGCGTGCCGCACGGCACTAAAACCCGCCCGAACCCGCCGAGTATTGCTAATTTTATTAGATTTTCCCCGTACGCGATTGAGACACTTACGTTTCGAACTTCTCCAAATCGCTTTCCTAGGGTACCTATCCGAAACGAATTAGATTTATTTAGGCTCGTTAGCGCCGGCACGCGAACCGCCATTTTCCAAAAACAATTACTCTCGGCGCCTTTCCGAGGGATCTTAATCCGCAATCACCCCCTATACCTACGTATATGTGAAGTAAATTAATGTGAATTGGATTGAGCCGAGTACGGCTCTGCAAGGCTCACCTGCGTGGGCAGCGGCTCTACAACAAAGCTAAGTCAACAATTTCCCCAAGGGCACACGCAATTAAAAATTGTTAAACAATTGCCTTTATAAGCAATTAATTTATGACAGATCGTAATGAAAATTGTGAAGTGGATTTATTTAATATTCTTAATGAGTCGAGTGCGTTTTTTCGTCGTCGTTGCGAGCGAATAAACGGAATTGTTTAGCACCCACACCTCCCGATTAGCATACAAGGTGCCTCGTTAATAAAGGTTCGAGCCGAAGATGCAAGCTGACATTTTTTTTTTCGGGCTCAGGACTCGAATTAATATCTATTTCGCGGTATTTCCTAACGATAATATGCGCTTATACGAGTTGTTGTTTATAGTATATGCTTAATTGATTCGCGGATTATCCATATCACTTCTGAACTCTCAACATACACATACATACACGTACATTAACATTGAAAATACAATGTATTTATCATTCATTTTTTTCTTTATATGAACATAGGTAGTAAACACGATTTTAATTAGCACCAATAGTAAAAATGCATTAGCAGATAACTGTAATAATTCCATATTTATCGCCGATGAGGTTTTTACGTTGGAATAAAGATGCAGAAGGTATGTTAATAAGGCGAGGTGCTCCTTAAGTGTCACACGTAAAAGCCTTTAAATGCAATCAACTAATATGTGCCTAGCCATCGATGGTGTTTCTGAACTATTCGCTCCTCTAGGTAAAACGACGATATTACCGTGCGTACTGATAAAGCTTTTTAAAATGCCATTGCCATTTGAAATTACTAACGACCCAGACACGCGACAACGTGTATCAAACATAATCACGTTAGTTTTTGTGTCACCAACATCGATCAGAGGCGTGCATTTCGGATCAGAAAAAAATCAATCAAGAAGCAAGATGCAGCAAGTTTTCGAAACATTGTACCTACCTATCTAACATAAAAAATGTTATAATATGAAATTAGGTAGGGAATTACAGAAAATTATGCAGCTATGAGAAACCCTTCTTAATGATTTTAATTAGGAAACCCTTAAACCCTTGCATACTTTTGTATATACTATAATAGTATTAAGAATATTCAGTCCTATAATGTACAGGTATTGCTTACATCTCTATGAATTATCTGTATACCTATACTTGTAAACTGTATATGTAATTATCAGAATTAATTCAAATATGCACCGGAAAATGCATGTATTTTTGGGAGAATTTTCCGGGTTTCCCCGCCTTTGTGGCGAGCGACCTTCGTGGGCACATTCCACTTGTGACCACACAAATGTTTTTATCTAAAAAGTCGTACCGTACATTTTGGTTAATTTCTATTAATAATCCTGTAAATATGAATTCCTGAGATAACGGGCCAAAATCACTAATGGACAGTTTGGAACACCGAAGTGAAGTCGTAAATTAAATTCAACGGGGGAATCACGATTTTTTTCGTTTCTCGGAAATTCGACCGAATTCACTAATAAAGTATTAGGCATATCTAATTGATGGATTTATCTTCGGCTACTAATTTAATTGCTTGATTAATCGTTTTGTTTATATTTACGCTAATAAAACCGGCCATTAGGTTATAGGTATGAATATTTTCTAATTCATTTAGATAAATTTTTTAAATTAATAATAGTTAAGTGCATGCATTAAATTACTCTAATATGCAAATTATATAAAAAATACTTTGTACCCACAATTCCAATTCGAGCCAATTATTAATTTGTTACACTTTTCCGACATTTTGCTGGAATAATTTATAATAGTCGTTTTTCATATACTTACCTACTCGTTTTTTTGTAATTAAAACGGCCGATTTTTTATATTGTTGTCCGTATACTCAAACAATTTAACGATATTTTTAATTACGTGTCTAGTTAATTATATTTTTATTAATTTCCTCGCCCAGCTGGGTACCCGTATTAGTTGTGAGTACTATTAAATAATTTTATTATGATTATTAATTACTATTAGACGCACTTTTAAATTATGCCACGTACAGTGTAAGTAGGTGGACAAGATAATTGGTGAGATACATCGAGAAATAATAAAAATAATAGCGTACGGATAGAGTTATTAGAATTTTAAATCGAATTTATATACCTACCCACAATACGAAAACGTGCGAGATTAGAAAATTAATTGATTGTTTCATTAATTTGTTTACAACAGGGTATTGTAAAATAAATAACAAACCAAACCAGCCGAAAAAGCGGCTAAGGGTGTATATAAGAAACCCTATTAGTTGATCGTAAAGTTTTACATTTTATACAAGCCCAATTAACTACGCACCATCTGTGAAACAGATAAAAACCAATTCTACCGAAAAGTTATGTCATACGTCGGATCCTTAATTAAAATGTGTTGTAGTTAGATTAATTACACCTCTATTAACCGGCCTAAAGTTCCCATTCCCACTACATACGAGCTACGAGCATTAAGAAATTTATTCCCCTTCTCGCTTATAAATCCCCATAAACAGTTAGCCGTATACGAGCTAAGAATTCTAATCGACCACTCTAAATTATGAAACGTGCAAAGTTATGCGCGGCTCCTTCGTAATTTCAGTAGATCATGCACCAATCGCGGACTGGTTATTATCATTAGAAAATCGTAATATAGCGGTAATCGTTTCTAATGGGCCGCTGCCTCTCTTTTTTAATGCGTTATTAATTGTGACGGTGGGAAGTGGAGGTTCTCATTTCTCGTGAAATCGGGGAAAAAATGAAAAAAACTAAACGATTTCATCAAGAAAAGGTGCCTTAAAGGTTCTAATGCTGAGGCGGAAGTTGCGTATTATTCTGATGGAAAAAAAATATCCAACTGTTGCTCTAATGTACAAGTAAATCAACTTTGTCGTTAGAAAATTCGTTTTATTTGATACAAAAGTTTGTTTAATTTTCAAAATAAAATGCGTTTTTAATTTTTAGGGTAATAATGTTGAAATAAGTATAAATTCTAACTGGTAGTATAATTAGTTAGAATTTAGCATAAAATTAAAAGTATACATTCTATAATTTGTATAATTGAAAAAATTATTTATGCCTCTACGGAATGTCAAAAAACTAATTCATTATTCATATTTTTTGCGTTGCATTATTGCGGAACTTAAAATTTTTTAAATTAATGACCCCAATTAATTATTTTTTAATCAACATACAGGTAAAATAGTTACTGTACACGTATAGATAATTTTAATAGCGTGTTTTGAATTACTCGCGAGTCGGTATTTTCGAAACGAATGCGCTATATGTTAAATAATATTGTACACAAATTCAATTTCCACAGAATATACCTGCATGAAACATTTTGATTCAATTAAAGATTGTTTAAAGAGCGTTCGCAATGTGTTGATATCTCCTGAATATCTTGAGAAAAAAATTATCTACAGAGTTAATAAAGTAGAATTTTTGACCTTCACTCAGTCAATAATAATTTGTTCATATACTCAGGAATTACAGGGTGTTTTTTGGCAGGGTGTGAATTTGGCCCATTTTTGTGAAATTATAAAAAGTTATAAAATATTGGCCAGGATTAAAATTTTAAAATCTACCCTCAAATTTCTTAATTTTTTCATCAGAAAATTGAAACTCCAATAAATTTATTTCTGATGGTTTCTGATGGTTCAAGTTTTTTGTTATCCCGCTGGGTGACCTCTACATAGAGTTAATATATCCCCCTTTCCCTATGAAACACCCTGTATATTCAAATATGAAAATTATTTAACTTACCACTGTGACCGGCGCCGTTATCTCTATCGTCGAATCTCTCCCCATTGTCGCTCAAATCGACGAGACTCCTTATCGAAAACACTGATTTGGCCACTCTCACCGGCACAGCGTCCCGTTGTTTCGTCGTTAGGTCCATCTCCAGGCAATCGCTGTCCATTGGTGATCGTCCAGGAAGCGGATGTCTGGAAATAATCGAAAGATCGCCTTTGAAAAAATTAAAAAAGCGACTCAAGGAGGATTCTTCGAAGAGCGTCCGAACGGAAAAAGCTTAATAGATTTTCTTCGACGCATAATTGTCAGCATTGATGTAGATGCAAGTTGACATAATCCAATTAGAGCAATTTCCTCTGCGAAGAAATTCCTATAGAAAATATCTAAATTATAAATTTATGTCGTGATTGCATGTAATTTTCTCATTAATTTCAGTCGCACAGATATTGATTGATGTAAGTTATTATATTTATGGTAATTTCGCAATTACCTCCGCAGATTAGTTCGCAGTACTCTAACAGTATCTGCCATAATGGTATATATCGCATCTTCTGTGCGTTCATTCTATTTGAACTAATCAACGTAATTGGTGTGTAATTAAATTGTTGGGATTTCGCTTAAACTTGTTAATTTCGTTTTTCGTCGGACGAATGAAAAAAATCTTACCACATGTAAAAACTAGCTAAATGCCAGCTTCCTATTCATATATACCGGAAAAATAAGTATAAATAATACTCATGGTATAATTAGCAAGATTACATGAATACTTTGTATATCTAAGTAGGTATAAATAGTATCTAGAGGTAGTAATATGTTAAGATATTTTGAACTAAACAAAATTTGCTCAGTAAGTTGCTCTGGAATAAATTTTGAAGCTGTGTGAGGGAAAATGTGATGGAAATTTTCTTTTGATCTCAAAGTAAATCAGTAACCCAAGTAACTTAATTTATTCTTACCGTGAAATACTTATCCTATTAATAAAGTATATACGCACAAGTAAATAAGTTAATGCAATCAGTTCACAAAATAAAGTTGATGTTAATTTTCGTTTTTCGCATTAGTGATAGAATCGAAACTAGCACATAAAATTAACACTTCTATCATATTAAGGTTATTTACATTTAAATGAATTTCGCGAATAAGTACCCCGATAACGGGTTATTATTCGTTTAACTATCTGAACATAATTACGTTTAATTACCTCCATGCGGTTACTTTGTAGGTATTATATATTCGTTTTCCACTAATCTATGTTGTACGCGAAATTTTAGTATGTGCATAATCTGCGTCGATTTAAATTAGGGACTACTTACGGAATTTAACTAATTCAACTTCTTATTCAATTAGGACAAAAAGGTGATTTAAATTGAATTGTAAGTATGTTATACCTAGTTAGGTAATGAGCGACAGTATGACAAGAGACATTTCTACATGTATATCTATCATTTAATTACCTGCATTAAATTAACTCAGCAGGAAAAAATTTATAAAGCTATATCTGACTGAATGACAAAGTGCTCTCGTAATTAATTAATATTAGCAGCAAAAACTAAATTTATGCATAAACAAATTAGCGACAAGCATTTTAAGTAAGTATATAATTATTTTTTTAATTGTAATTTGAATAAAGTTAAAAACAAACTTAATATTGTCGGTTGATAATTTAAATTAGCTATAATTTGCCGGGAAAGTTCAGTTTTAACGAAAAAAAATCTGTTTCGTTAAAAGTTTTCTTGCGTTGTAGGTAATTAGTTTAATGAATTCATTAAATAGTTTATATAAAAAATATTTATTGTGCGCCTATCATAAGACGATTTGCAAATGAAGCATAAAAGAAATAGTTACTTAATTGATTTACAAATTTTCTTTTTTGCTTTTGCTTATACCTAACTACACAGATAATATTTTCATTGCAAGGACGAAGCAGCATAGAAAAGTTTAAGTTCAATATTTTCATTAACAATGCAAAAAATTAGAATACTCTCATAAAATCCATATACCAACATATTACAGTAAAATTTCACTAATTAACTCAAAAGGCCTTGAACGACTTTTTTGCACATAATACACGATAATAGGGAAGTGAATTTATGCAAACGTATTATGCTAAATTCTAGTAAGTATGCAAATTACAATAGGAATATAAAGTTTGAAATTTATTCCCAATCAGATGATTTGTCTAAAAATAATCTTTCCAATTAATAATAAAAGAACGTAATGTTAGCAATAACTAAATTAATTAATAGATATTGTATAATATTGAATTAAGATTATTGCCTGTAGGTAATTCTATAAATTGATAATTTTTAGCCGCTCCCACAATCAGTAAAAAATTACCATAAATCTAATTTTTTTATGAATATTTAAAGAAAATAAATTGCATTAGCATAGATAAAATCTACTTTATATATAGATGAGCATTACTTAGCAAAAGTCCTATTACAAACAATTTATTACTCGTTCAACTCTCACTAGTTTCGCTGGAATATGCGACCATCTTCAGGTTTATAAATAGGGTATATCTAATAATTATGAAAGAGTAAAAAATTGTTGGTAATTTGAGAAGAAACGGTTGAACAAGTTTTACAACAGACGTTCATAATTCATACCTGGTAGTGTTTAAACCGCAAAATCGCCCGATTATAGAATAAAATCGATAGGCAGATAAAAAAAGCCACAACACTCGCCGGATCTGTCACCGCCGGAAATTCCGTAGTCGGGCGGCGCACCCCCGCGTTTATCGCGACACCACGAGCACCGTCCGCCGTGCGAAAAATTAGCGCAGAACCTCTCCAACAATTATCGCGGTTACTGGCAGGTGAAGAGGACGCGCAGGCAGCAACGGCGATCGGTAGAGGGCATCGCAGGAGGACTGCGGCGGACGGGCCGGCCCGGGCGGGCGGCCCCGCCGCGGGACCGCCTTCGGGGCGGTGCGCGCATTAATTATCGACCTTGTTAACGTCTGTTCTTTTGGCTTTTGATTGTGAAATATAGAGCGTCGCTCGGCGCGTTGGTTGTTTATTGCCCGGCCGGGCCCGGTGCGTGACTGGGGGGTTTTAAATGCGGCAAGAGATTTTCGTTTTCGCGAAAATATGAGGCGTTCGACGCGGATGATAACGAACGTTTATGGGAATTAACTTTACCTTACTTACTGCTACTAACTATGCTTAGGAACTTATGAAACTTGCTCATCGTAAATCGAGATGAGTGTATGGAAATATGCGTTCAAAGGTTCTGTTATTTCAGACCTACTGTATGGAACCTGTACATTAATTAACAGAGGAACCAGGTACCTAATAGATCAAAGAAGGTATGGTTCCTATGTAGAGTTTGGGGAAGAACCAAGATATAAGTAGATATTTATAACGTATAACTGCGTGAAGAGATCTGGAAAAGAGCATTGGTTCTAATGTAACAAATAGATAATCAGTTATAGAGACTATAATCAATTAATTAATCAATCTAAACAGTTTGACAGTTTGAAATAATAATGACAGTTTAATTTTTCCCTCACGTCATTTTTATCAACACTAGTCAAGAGTGATCTTCTTTGAATGGTGCCCAATTAAAGAAAGTATTAAAAATGTTTGTATATTATTTGTATCCATATAATATATTTTTTATTTACAATTCTCGTGCATAAAAACTTATTGAACTTACATTTTAAAATAATATGAGATTTTATTCTAAAATAACACCACCTGGAAAACTTGTGCACTTGACTAGCCATCTATTTGACATATTTAATGTCACTTTTCATGACTACTTTGATCGCAGACAAAAAATTAAAATGATGGTAATGAAGGTTTAGAAATTCATAGAAATGTCATCGAATTCAATTTGTTTATATAATGTTTTATCGAATTTATTATTTTGTTTTTAATATACAATTCTTATGCTCTTACGCAATTTATATGCGCTCCCCAACCATAAATACAACTCAATTAAATATACGTATCTGCTTATTAGTGAGTAATTAACCGAGCAGATGCACATCAGATTGCCGATGGTACGAGCACGAATTGCTCGTAATGTTAATTTATTCCGGCTAATTAATATGTACCTTCTTGAAAGATGCCTTTGCTGCGCTCAAAATACGCCAATGCGCGAATAATTCTCCACTCCAAGAAACGACACGCCTTTCCGTTGCCCGCCCATTTGTCTAGTTTTTCTCTTTGAAAAATGATGGTAGAGGATAATTGCAAAATCCAGGATGTAGATACATCTATTAAGGCTTTTTTTGAATATTATGTACCTATTTATTTTTCATAGAGGCATCTAGATGCTCTTGTAGGTAATTACAATTATGTATCGATGTTTATTGGATTTAATTCAAAAGATTATCCAATACTCGAATGAATTTAGTTAGGGACTATCTAGTAGGCAAATCTTACCTTTCTTTATTTGATGCACGTACAGATAAGTTCAAATTTGTTTGCAATATTGACATATTGACATTGACATTTCTAATATGATTTGAACAAAGATACGAACAAAAATAACAGTGATTAAAGTGAGTAGGTAAGTTGCAACCCCACATTATCACTCTTTCTTTTTCCTTTATATGAGATTTATGGAAGTTATCTTTGTTGCACCATATTGCGAACAAATTTGCACTTATCTGTATACAGAAAATATTAAAGACCGAAACAGATGTAAAATATATTAAAATATAAGGGCAATTTACCAGTATAAATGTAAACCCATAAAAATACCACTAGAAAAGTCTTGTATAAAATAAGTAATACCTAGAAGAAACTAATTTATATACTTTTTTATAAATATCACCTGTAGATATAGGTAATTAGGCAGGCTTAAAATCAATTACCACCAGTAAAAATCCTAATTCAATTAAAAGAACGCACATTAGAGAAAAGATAGAAATACTAATGGGCACTTGTGTATGCAACATTAAAATTGACTCACCTTCGTTAGAGACACCAACTATAACTATTTTAAAATTCTAATTAAATGTAGAACATGGAATGTTGGTGGTTAATAATTATCTATTGATAAAACTCGAACTAACTAGTGGTTGTTTGTTACATTCTATTTATTAATTTCCAGCTGGAATACACTGTAATTATAATTATCTTCTTACTCATTAATATTATATTGTTATTAGCATAAAGAAATAATTGTACAATATTGTGATGAATATCTAATATATGTTTAATGAGGCTATGAATTTTAGCTATATTTTCGTATTAATTACTTTTTAAGGTATTTGCGCGTTTAACTATTGGAAAATAAAGGCTTATAGGGAAAAATTGATCTTTACAGCAGAAGTAGATGCATAAAATCGTGTAGACTTTAATGAAATAGGAAATTACATACAATAAAAAACAAAACAGAAAATGTTTTCCTAATAAGAAACCATATTGTTTAATCAACCATTCAAACCTCTTAAACTAAGGAGAATTAGAAATGTCCATGTTATCAGACTTCTCCGGCGATCCTCTCTCGACAACCTGATCGACCTCTTTATCCTTCGACTTATCCTTCTCCGCATCGAATCCTTTCTCCTCTTCATCATAATTTCTGGGCACTTTAGAATGCGACCTCGTAGAACGGCTAGACCGAGACCTCGATCGAGATTTCTTCTCCCTATCCTTTTCTTTCTCCTTAGACTTTGAACGCTTGTCCTTGCGATCCCTCTCTTTCTCGCGCTTCTCGCCCTTCTTGTCCCTCTTACGGTCTTTACCTCTACTCTTCGACCTGCTCTTCTTTCTAACGACGCGGGGCGACGGAGTTCTTCTACGACCACCTCGCGATCTCGACCTGAAATGTTGAAAAACTTTTTTATAAATACCCAGAAAAGTTACTATTTCTAGTAATTTATACCTTTTACGATCTCTTGTTCGACGTTCTTTCGATCTGGACCGTTTGCCCCTGCTTCTCGAGCGCGACTTTCGCTTCTCCTCCGCGTTATTTTCCTTATCGACCTTCTTTTCTCTGGACACTCTCACGCTCTTGTCCTTTTCCGCGGAATCCCGTTCGCTCGACTTCTTCTCCCTCTCCTTGTCTTTCTCCTTATCTTTGCTGCGCTTGCTGTCCCTCGACACGTCCCTGGATTTCCTGTCGCGATCGCGCGATTTCCGCGGCGACCTGTCCCTCGATCTGCTCTTGCGGTTCCTCCTCCGGCTCTTCGACCGCGACCGTCTGGATTTGGTGCTCCTGGATCGGGAGCGCCTGGACCGCGACCGGGACCGTCGCCGGCCCCTCGACCTCGACCGCCTCTTGTGCTCTCTGGACCGTCTCCTCGACCTCGACCTGCGTCTGGACCTCGACCGTCTCCTCGATCTCGATCGCTTCCTGGACCTCGAGCGCGATCTTCGCCGCCTGCTTCTGGATCTGGACCGCGATCGTCGGGTGCTCCGTTTATCTTTCGTGAGCATACCGATTACGGGTTCTATCGAGGCGTTGATCATGTTCTGGGCTTCTTTGAACCTCGACATGGCTTCTTCGATTTCCTTCTGAGCGGCTTCGTTGCTCTTCGCTTGCGGTTTGGCTATCGGTTGGGTGGCGTGTTGGACTTCGACCACTTTGCCGTTCAGTTCTTTTCTGTTCAACTTGAGGGCGTTTACGATGCTGGATTGGTCGGAGAATTCGACGAGCATGTGCGTGGCGTCGGCGGAGTCCTGCTTGCAGGTTCTCAGGTATTTCACCTCTCCGGCCACGTTGAAGAAGTCTATGACGTTGTCGATGGTCATCGAGGAGGAATCGTAGTTTAGAAGGATGACCGTGCGTCTGGTTTCTTCGATTTTAGCGGCGTCGTAGTTGGATGGTAGAGGAGGGTACGGCGGTAGACCGCTAGAATGTAGAGTCGGTTCGGTGGTTATTATGACCTGCTCGCCGTTTATTTTGTGGGTACTGTTGACGACGTGCGGGGGTAATTTTGGGTCGGTGGGAGTCAAACCGGGCACTATGGCGCCGTTTTTGGTCATCTCCAAAGCGTAATACTCATCGGGAATCTCCCCGCTGGATACCGGTATGACGATCAGAGCTCTATCGATGAAAACCGTGTTGGTCATATGCTGTGCTATGCCTACGGTGGTGCTCTCCACGAATTTGATGTAGCAAATGCGCGATTGAACGGGGCACGAAACGTCCCTTATGGTGGGGTACAGCCGGATGTCTTCGATTTTTCCCAAATACCCGAACAGTATTTGCATTTGATCTTTGGTCGCTTGGGGTGCGATGTTCGTCACTTGAACCACTTTGCTCGTGCCCACAGCCATTGTGATCAATTAGAAGGGCATTTATAACACTTAGAAGATTGTAGTTTACGCAGATTTGAACTATTTTATTCTAATAATGGATTGCATTTTAAAATAAACTATTAAAACACCGTGTCATTACAGCAAGTTTACGTTTGGAAACGAACATGATGACATAATTGACAGTAATGACAATTGACACTTAGGTTTTCGTTTGGTAGAAGAAATTGAACTAGATATCTTCTACACAAAAGGCACAAATATTTCTAATTTGATCTTAAAAGAAGAAGAAGATAAAATTAGGTTAATTTTATTTAGAATTTAGAAATAAACAAATAAAGAAAATCTATCAGAAATAGTTTAAAAGTTCGTAATCAAAATATGCTATTGTGTTGCTAATTATTTAGGACCAATGGAAGCTGTCGCTGAGAGACTAACGAAATCGAAAAATATGTCTGAGGAGCTTTCAGGTGTGACAGTAGTAATAATAATAGGACTTGGAGTACTCACGTTCCTGTTGCTGTTTATATTTGCTAAGAGGCAAATTATGCGATTTGCGCTCAGGTCGAGAAGGGGGCCACATATTCCTATAGGCCATGACGGGTCTAAGGTATAACATTTATTTCGAGTATCTTAACTTATAGACATTCATACAAATTTACTTACAGGTGTTGAAACGAGAAATCGAACGAAGGATTGATTTAATCAAAAAAATAGAATGCGAACCACGTTTAATAACGTCCGATCCGAGATATATAGTATGTCCCGGACAGCAAATTCCTGCACACTACTACAGATTAAAAGCTGTAGACGACGTTAAAATCCTCGGTAATCTCTGCAATATCCTTAGTAATATTTAATAGCTCATCGTCCAATTTCAGAACAAGAAATTACGAAGCAAGACAATTGTTTAATCAGACACCCCAGTGAGAATTTAAGAGCCTATCTTCTAACGACTTTAGCGGCCCCGTTGAACGGCAGCGGCCAACGATTGATACACGAATTCTGCGATATGTACGAGCACGCCAGGCACGATCCCAATCATTTCGGAGACGAGGATTATCAGCAGTACAACAGGCTCTTGTTGAAACTAATAGACGCGTGAGTCTTGAGAGCATTGATAGTTGGAAATCTATTTCGATTTTTCAGGGCAAAATTGCTGAAGTCGTACAATACGAGCAGGAAGTCGTCGCCTAATCGTACCCCGCAGAGAAGGCTCTTGGTCGAGAGGAACAGGAACGCGCATTCGCATTATCAAGCTGAAGATGAAATATTGAGCGTATCGGAGCGCATAGATTCGAGACCGACTTCTTTATCGATTTTGCCTTCCGCCGATGATGAAACTTCCGTGTGAAAGTCTCGAGGTGTTCGGGTTTTAAGTTATGTGAATTTGTTTTATACTATTTATTGTTGCGTTGCAAAAATATAGGCGTGTTATATTTAATTCATTGAACGTACGAGAGTTAAGTATTTTATCATTTTATTGCATCTTTTACAACTGCATTTTTAAATGTAAATTTATAATTATTTTTATTCAACGTTACTTTATTACAAATCTAAATATACTACTTTTACAATTTATCTTGTACTTGTATTTGATAGTGTATAAAATAGAATTGTAAATATGCAGGATTTTCCAGGGTGGAATATTTTATTTAGCTTCAGATTTCTTATACTTGAGTTTATTCTTAAATTTCTTAGGGTTAATTCCGTACGCTGATAACCTTGCATCTGATATTGGCAACTTGGCATCTTTTTCTTTATTAAATCTTTTCCTTTTCTTATTTTTAATTTCTGCGGTTTCATTAGAATTCCTTTTTCTCTTATTGCTGTTTGGATCGGCTGAAGTTTGGTCGTTTTGATTTGTATCTTCTATTTTTACAGCTTTCTTATTATTTTTGTTCTTTTTCTTCGTAATTTTGCTCGTCTCTCCGTTATTTTGTGTTTCTGTTAATTCCTTAGTTGAATCAGAATTTTCTTTTGGTTCAGATTTATGAATCACCGATGATGTTTCTTCTTTTTTGGTCACACTACTTTCACCATTCTGTGAATTTTCTTCTGGAGTGTTAGAAAAGAGACTGGGCAGAATTTTCTGTTTTAAATTGATATTTTGCCCTTTCTTCTTGTATGCAATTTGTTCATATTTTTCCACCTCGTCCGACCTAATTTGTACAGCTTTTTTCAAAGAACACCATTTATTCAACTCCCTCTCATTCGCTAGTAAAATCTAAAATTTAATTATCAATAATTTCTCAACAATATACAAAAAAAATTATCACCTCTTCTGTTGTTAAGCCGAAATCATTAGGCACCACTTTCCTGTACTTAAAACGGCATGGAATATCTCCAATTATATCTTCGCAATCCAATTTATAATATTCATCGAAATATTTTTCAAATTGAGCATCAGTGGGATCGAATTTTGGTTTGGGCTTACTGACAGCTTTTGCGAACTTTGATTTTCGTTTCTTCTTCCTTCTTCCTTTAGATTCATCATCTGCAGTAGTGCTATCGTTTGCCTGATGAGGATCATATTCACAGTCCATCTAAAGATTGAATCAAGCATTGAATAAAGATAAATTGTAATTTTTATAAAAAAAGACTCACATTGAAGTCGTCGTCTTCACAATGAGGTTCGTTGTCTTCTGGTTTTGGCGTGTAACGTTCCCAATTTTCTGGAATATTAAATGGTATTTTAAGGAAAGGTTTATAGTGTGACTCTGATAAATTACCGATTTCAAGTTCTTCATCTAAATCTGGAAATTCTGGTTTTTGGTCATCTTCCGGTTCTGCATAGAATTCTTCGTTGAACAAAGCTTGCATTTTCTTATCGTGTTCTTCAGGATCGAAATCTCCATCGATATCATCATCCTGTAAATTTTTTATTAGTACAAATAAAATGTGTGTTGAATAACATACATTGAATCCTAAAGTCTCATTTCCGGTTATTTCTTTGAGCTTTTCCAACTTTTCTTCGATTTCTTTTCTCTTATACTCTTGCATTTTCTTAAGTTCTTGCATCTTCTGCTCTTTTTCCTCCTTTTTCCTTTCTTTAACTTCCTGTCTCTTTACCTTTCTTCTATCATCTGTTCTTCTTACTGAATTTTCCATAGTTCTAGGATACCGTTTAATCTGCAACAATAATAAAATTAGAAATAAAGGAGTTGTTATCAATTATATCCCTTACAAACTCTTGATCTGGTTCTTCAAATCGAAAATTGTATTTGTGTTCAAACTCTTCCTGTTTACTCAAAATTTCCTCGTCATTGGATAAATCTTGATCAGAGTCGTGAATTATTTCATCGTATGTAGGCACATAATTTTCATCTTCATTATCTAAATACCTACAAAAGAAGTGCTAAAATTTTCTTGATGATTATTTTATCGAACAAACCTTTTGTTTAAAATGTAGTCCTTTAAAAACTTCTCTCCTTTGTCTAGGTTGGGATCATTCCAATATTCTTTTAGAGGCTTCAAATCTTTCACTACAGCTTCGTCTTCTAATGAAGCCTTTTCACCAGCAAGCCATTTTTTGTAATCGCTTTCTTCTTTATCAATTTCCTCCTTTGTTTTTTCCCTTTTCTTAAAAACTCCTCCCCAGTTATTATCATTTCCTTCATCATCACTGTTTCCCAGTGCATTCTTGAAGCTGTCTTTAATCTTCCTCTGCTCTTCGTTATACGTAAGAGACCTAGAATTAATGCAATAGAATGAATGAGTAGTAAAATTGACTTATGTTTAGTTACTGTGGAGTTTCCAAGTCTTCTTCTTCATCGCTTAATATTCCACCTTTTTCCAAGATGAGATTACGCTCGTAATCTTTTATAAACATCGGTTTATCTTTCTTGTTCTTCTTAGTTTTGATATCGGTGCTTTCTTGGAAGAAATTAACATCGTTGTTGTATATCCGGGGATCCTTGTTTTTTAAGCAAGACAACGTCCTAAAGAAGTCTCTCTCCACATCTTTAGTTAATTCAATGCCTTCCTCGTCGTCTGAGGAAGAACTCGAGGAATCCTCGCCTTTATCTAACACATCTTCACCATATTTCGTCTTGACTAAAACACGCGAAATTGAATTAATACGCGAGAGTTATTCCAAATTTGGACGAGACTTACGTTTGTTCAGTTCCTCTTTCTGCCTCCAAGCATCGTACTTTTTGGCATACTCGTTTTCTGTCTTGAAATTCGTGTTTTCATCTGAAGAATCTCCATCGTCATTAAATAAATGTGACATTTTCAAATCAATTTACCATAACCTCAATATGTACACATGTCATCACAAACGTCAATATCAATCTTCTGTTAAAATAAAAAAATGTGACTTTGACTATACTAGTGTGCAGCATATTATTCACAGCTATTATCCTGAATATATTTTATTTGTAAACTTAGAGTATCTTACAATATATAATAAAGTATCCCAATAGTTTGCTTAATAAGGAAATGCTTTTTTAATGTCCTCTGGAAGTTTTGAAATCATCTCATCGTGATTGACACCTTTAACAGTGGCGAAAATCCCTTGGGCATCGGGGAAGGGCGCGTTTTTGGAATAATCGTAGTGCTTGCCGTGAATATCTGTCAGCCGTCCTCCAGCAGCCTCCAGGACTCCCTCGGGAGCGCAAGTGTCCCATTTTTTGCAACCTCTACTTGCGTACACGTAAGCATGAGCCCTGCCTTCTAATAGAACCACAGTCTGTAGAATTTTATAATGTGTATCATACATTTCCCATTACTTTTAATTTAATTAATGTACCTTATGACCTGCTCCTCCAACGCAAATAAGTTCGTCTGGATTCAAGGCGTTTAGAGCTCTGTTGACCATTTCGTCTCGATGGGATCTACTAATAAATATTAGAGAATAATACTGCAATATTGGTAACAACATAAGATATACCGCGATGTAGTAATGATGAATTTGTCGCTAGGGGGCGTCCCTGGGCAAAATCCTCCCACACCTAGACCTACGAGTCCCCAAAAAGTTCTACCCGGTCCATTTTTATTCTTGAGATAGTCATGATAAGGCTGGTGTATTACGCCTCCTACTGCTTTACCAGCAACTGCTATTCCTATTAAAACAGTCACATGATCTAGAAGACCCTCTGTGTACTCGGATGTACCATCGAGGGGATCTACCCAAATGACTATGTCTTCATCCTTAACCCCTGTGAAATTTGCGGGACACGTAGAATTTAAAATGCATTCGTCGTATTCAGTAACAACCCAATCGACTGGTATCTGAAAAATTGTACTTGTGACTAGTTTTTCGTGAAGAGGTTTGTACCATACCTCTGTTTCATCGAGAGCACCTTCTTCCCCTATAATAGAAACGTTGGGGAATTGTTTCGATAAGGAAGTTATGATGCAACGTTGCGCAGATCTGTCAGCTTCGGTTTGCACGTCGTTTTTGCTTTTACCCTTAAAATAACGTTCGAGTACGAATTGTATATTTGGAATATTTACTGTACCTTGTGGATAATTCCTAATTCTCCTTTCTCCATCACATCTTTCACAATTTTGCCGGCCCTAGCGGCTGTCTTTACAGACGACGCTAGAATTCGAAGGATAAGTGGAGCAGTACTAGCCATATCGAAATTGCCGAGTGAATTTCCCGAAGTTGTTACAAAAATTTGTTAAAAGGCGAATTTAATGTACACCTTGAAATGCGTAACGCAAGACTGACCATTCCTTTTTTGCTTATTAATAGTTTTTTTTTCATAAAATTTAATCGCTTTATGAAACCATTGAATTGGAAAGTTTTATTTGTGCTGATTTTATAATTTCTAATTTTTTTGGGTTAGAAACATAATGACAGTTTGATGTTTAGCCAATCACGGTGATTTACCTTCTTTTTCTATCATGCTTCATTGTTGCCAACGGAAATTAGGTTACCAAATCTCAACGCCTCTCCTAACTGAATACCCTCGGCACACAAGGCCTTGACTTTCGAAGTCACTGAGAGCCACTGACAGAATTTTGAATTTGATTTTACGATTTTGATCATTTTAATAATACTCGTTTATCCATGTCAGAAAACAGCCAGACTCCGGATTCAAGCGTTGAATTCTTCACGTTATCCGAACTGACTGAGCGCATTCCAACAGTTTCCTTCAGGTTAGTTAGATTTGAAAATTTACTGCTGGTCTGCAGCGATTCCGTTTATTTGATGGAAAAACTCGGTAAGGCGTTCTCTTCGATTTCCAACGATATGAAGCACAATATCGAAGAAATAGACAGACTGTACGAAAATCGCAAGATTAGTTTCAGACAAAATTTGTTATTGTCGACGAACCGTCTAAGGTGTATTAACGAAGCGAACGAGGCAGTTAGGTGGTTAAGAAAGTAAAATTTAGTTCGATAATAAGTAAGTCGTTCTAAACTATTCTTTTTTTTTTTCTAGTGAGTTAAATTTTATATTTCACTTCTTTCGGTTCGTGATTGAAGATAACGCGAATATACGCCCTTCAAATGATTTGGCCCCATTTTTGAAAAATGCCTACGCGTTTACGCTGGAACAGCAGCACAGTTGGCTGGGTACTCAATTATTTAATGTTCTATCTCGTTTCACCCCAACAAGGCGTCAGCTACTGGCTGCTTTAAATCCCGATGTTACCGTTTTATCCGAAGTATCTACAGTAAATGAGTTAATAACATATAATGAAAAATTGAGGACATTTATCGATAACATTCCGTTTGAAGCTGCCGATTTGCTTTAGAACTATCCGTTTAAATAAAACTTACACCTATTCCAGGTTTTTATATTGAAAAATACAGACCGTATCTAATTGGAAATATATTGCATGTTTGATTTAATACATTTCTCAATTAGAAATTTATTTTAACAATTTGAATAACTTAGATAAAAATATTAAAATACAATAATCCAATATCCGAAGTTTCTGTTGCTACATAAAGTCGTCGTATTCGTCGAAATCATTAACATAAGCAGAGAGTTGTGAAAGTTGCTAAAATTAAAAAATATATATTCCTAATAGATTCGATTCTTATATGGGTAAGAGCAAATTTGTTTGCAATATAGGTCATTTCTGAGTTGAACAAAGAAAGATATTAAAATAACAGTGGTAAGAGTGAGTAAGTTGTAATCAACCCACAACATCGCTCTTTCTTCTTCCTTTAAATGAGACTAATGCAAGTTCTCTTTGTTGCACTCATCGCCCACATTGCATCTACCTATATAAACATTATAAAAATTAAATGTTTCTTACGTTATCTCCTTCAACGTGCAATTTCGCCTTGCCTTTGCCCTTGTTCTTTTTCGACTTATCTCCCTTTTCGATTTTCTGCTTTTCCAAAAATAAATTATCTAACGAATTTTTTACTTTCTTAATATCCAAAGAAGACACTAAAACGCATTTCCATGTAAACTATTCTTCAATAAACGATCGTTTTAAAGAATAATTACTTACTTGTGGCACATAGACTTCTCGATAAGTTTTCAACGAAATTCGGGTATTCTACGTTTTTGGATAGCCCAACTAATTTCCTCGATAATTCCTCAGCGAACACGTCAAAATCTTCTTTAGTGTTAGGTAGAGAAAGATCGCTAAAAAGAATGCCGCCATCTTTATTAGTTTTGCTATCGCCGAATGTCGTGGCCAATGCTATTTGTAGATCGGATTCCTTTTGCAAGCGAAGCCTCTCCTCGGGCGAAATTTCTTCCTCGACTTCTTCCTTGCGCTTCCTCTCCAGTTCTTCCTTTTTCAACCTCTGTAAAGTCGTAAAAATTCGATAAATAATTCGTACGATCGCTTGGAGATCATTTTCACCTCTTTTTCAGCTAACTTTTCCGCTAAATTCTTCTTTTTGGGCTTCTTAACTTCAACTTCGGATTTAGCCTCCTCTTTCTTCTCTTCGTCTTCGTCCTCCCAACTTTCCTGAGAAACAACATGATAGATATTAATATCGATGAAAAATAGATATAAATAAGAATCTCGTACTTTAACATCGTCGTCTTCATCCTCGCCCTCCCACTTATTAGGTACTACCACTGGGGCAGATGCTCGAGAAACCGGCTCGAAATTCTCGTCGTCTGCAATCCCAAAAATGAATTAGCCATGAATTCGATACGTGTACTCTTCGAGTTCGCTTACCCCAAGATGCCATATTGCGAATTCTATTTCTAAATGAACCTCAAAAAACGTTCTCACGTGTGCAACACTAACTTTCCTTCAACGCTATGAGTCACCTCGCTTGCGGGAAAATCAATTGCGGAGAGTGGAAAAAAACTGCTTTCCTACCAAAAGCGATGCGTGAAATTTCTATATTTGCTATAAGTAATTATAAAAACACAAAAGTTATTCAAATTATCACTGCTCAAATTTGAGGTCGACCTTCGAACATCCATTTCAGGTTTGGGTTGACTTTGACATTTGATTTATTTGACATTGACATTTCCATCACCACCAATGATCAAAAATCAAAAATTTGCATTACTTCACATAAAATTTCTAAAATATAACATTCTTTTAGATTTTAAATTTTGCTTAATAACACTCACCAATTTATTTCGAATTGCTGAGCACCCCATTACATTTTTAAAAATAACTTTAATGCCACAACGAAAGAGGCCATAAATTTTGTTTTGAAGCAGAAGAATAAATTAGGTTAGTTAATCAAGAATGCCTCTTTAGAAATTTTAAAATTTTGAATTTATTATTTAATACCATCAAAAAATGTATTTAAGATACTGTTTATACTCCAAGTACGCCGCAAAAAATGTTAGCAAATTAAGGCGTACTATTTCTAATTCAATTCGACATTATTGCCAAACACAAAATTCTCCAGAAGTAAATGTACCATTCTCCAATGGGTAAGTTAATACACGTTTTAATAATAACTTAGTCTATTTATTTTATTTATTATTTTTTAAAACCAATTAACAAATATTTCAATTTATTTTGCTCTTGTATTTTAGTCGTACTTTGACTGTTTCCACTGGAGAATACGCTCGGTTAGCAGATGGGTGCGCAGTCGCAAGTCTTGGGGACACGTCCGTTATGGTGACAGTTGTGTCTAAACCGAAGGCAACAGTACAAGGATTTATGCCCCTCGTGGTGGATTACCGGCAAAAATCTGCTGCGGCCGGTCGAATTCCGACGAACTTCTTTAGAAGGGAATTGGGTCCTTCAGAACGAGAAATACTGACGTCTCGTCTAATAGACAGAAGCCTGAGGCCCCTTTTTCCCGATAATTTCAATTGTGAAACACAAGTTATATGCAATATGCTGGCCGTTGATGGAGTAAATAACCCCGATGTTCTAGCTATAAACGCTGCCTCCGCGGCCTTGTCTTTGAGCGACATTCCGTGGAATGGCCCCATAGGAGCAGTGAGAGTCGGTTTTATAGACAACGAAGTAATTATTAATCCCACACGTAGAGAATTGCAATCTTCATCTTTGAATTTAGTGGTTTCTGCTATGAAGAGGAATTTAGTTGTGATGTTAGAAGCAAATGCGAATGCAATCTATCTCCAGGACTTACAGAAAGCCATTAAAGTGGGCACAAAAGAGTCTCAAAATATCATTAATCAAATAGAAAAACTGCAAAAATCTGTGGGCAAACAAAAGCGCTTAGTAGACACCCCTAAAGAACTCTCCGAAGAAACTACCGAAGGCCTAAGATCCTTAATGGAAATGAGAGTTACGGAGATATTTAGAAACTACACACACGACAAACTGTCTAGGGACAACGCGCTATCCGAAGTGCGTAATGATGTTTTCGAGAAAATCAAAGCCAGTTTCGAAGAAATCGATATGAATTTACTCAACGAAGCCTACAACAAAATCGTCAAACAGATTTTCCGCAATCTAATTTTCCAAGAAGGCAAGAGATGCGACGGAAGGGATTACAACGAATTGAGAAATATATCTTGCAAGGTCAACATGTACAAGCCCTTGCACGGTTCGGCTGTATTCCAAAGAGGGCAAACGCAAGTGTTTTGCACTGTTACCTTAGATTCCCACGATAGTGCGCTTAAATTAGATCCCCTAAGTGTATTGACCAGGTAATTGTAATGATTATTTTTAAGTGTAGGTTTAATCGCGTGATATTTTTAAGTGGCGTAAAGGAGAAGAATTTTTTCCTCCATTACGAATTCCCGCCGTTCGCGACCAAGGAAACTGGTAGAATAGGACCTATCGGGCGAAGAGAAATGGGTCACGGAGCTCTAGCCGAAAAAGCTCTGACGCCTATAGTGCCTAACGATTTTCCGTTTACGATAAGACTGACATCGGAGGTTTTGGAATCGAACGGTAAGTTTTTATGGAACAATTTATTTAACAAGAGACGAATTTACACTATACATTGACTACATGATTGTTTATTTACACGCTAAACGATTCACCACATCCGCAAGTTCCTTTTATATTGGGATTATTGAAAACGAATTCGGCACTGAGTTTATTTTCCACGAAGTCCATTTCTGTACCTAGAAGCGTCAATTGCGCCTTCTTATCTATAAATACTCTAACACCATCTTGCACCACTTCTTCGTCCAGTTTTTCCTTCTTCTCGGCGTAGTCTAAAGTGTATGATAAGCCGTTGCAGCCCCTTTGGCGCACCCCGATTTTCAGCCCTGCGTATTGCTCCTTCTCTTTGAGTATTTCCTTTATTTTACTGACCGCTGTGGGTGTCAAGTACAAGGCTGCCCGAGTGGGCAGCAGTTTGCGTTTTACCGCCCTCACGGTGGCGGTGGCGACGTGTCTCGAAGCCATTATAGAATATTTTTGGAGATTATTACTTCACATAGTTCTAATTTAAATTCGATTAAAAATGTTCATGATGATTTTGAGGTTATGTGGTTTTGAAACGTCAAAGTCAAATTCTTCTAATTATTTGGTTCTATTGGTGTCTTGTGCTTTTAAGTTATACAGCCACTTTTGAAAAAAAAATTTGAATTATTTTTGCGATTTTATTTAATTAGGTTCGAGTTCAATGGCGTCTGTTTGCGGTGGTACTTTAGCTCTAATGGATGCTGGTGTACCTATTTCGTCTCCTGCAGCAGGTGTTGCGATGGGTTTAGTTACTAAATATGATAAAGAGAATAGTAATATTGAAGATTATCGTATACTAACAGATATATTGGTAAGAATATGAAGCACTTGCCATAAAACATTCCTCATACCATTTATTAAAGGGTATAGAAGATTACATGGGCGATATGGACTTTAAAATAGCCGGCAACAAAAAAGGAATAACAGCTCTTCAAGCTGATATTAAAATACCTGGACTACCTCTTAAAATCATAATGGAAGCCCTTCAAACAGCGGCAGATGCCAAAACGCATATACTGAGTATTATGAATCATTGCATAGACAAACCTCGGTGGGTATTTAACAATTTTTCAACACCATTCATCACCCAATATTGTCACTTTCAGGGAAGTTAAGAAAGAAAATTGGCCCGTCTGCAAAAAGCTTGAAGTAGAAGTCCACAAGAGATCAAGGCTGTTAGGACTGGGAGGCGTTAATTTGAAAAAATTGTTCGCCGAAACTGGCGTTTCTGTAGGTACAAATCAATCGAGATTATTTCTTTTCTATGTTAAATCTTGTTGATCGCAGGTGTCTCAAATCGATGATACCACATTCGATGTGTTTGCGCCGAGCCAACGCGCCATGGACGAAGCCGATGAAATTATACAAAAATTATTGACTACTGAGAAAGCACCAGAATTGGAATTCGGAGGCGTTTATAAAGCTACTATCGTTGAAATAAGAGATATAGGGGTATTGGTGACTTTATATCCAGGAATGCCTCCGGCTTTGTTGCATAATTCACAATTAGATCAAAGAAAGGTAGGGATTAGGGATTATATAGGGCTTTTTTATTCATTACTGGATGTATTTTATTTAGATTGCGCATCCTTCAGCGTTGGGATTAGAAGTCGGGCAAGAGCTTCAAGTGAAATATTTCGGAAGAGATCCCGTATCGGGTTTAATGAGGTTGTCGAGGAAAGTCCTGCAAGTAAACCTTAGGTGATAAGCTTTGCGATTGTAAATATATTTTTTTTATAATAAAATGTTTTATAGTTGCCTCTGTTTGATTGTTCCTTCTTTCCCATAATTCGTTAGTTGTGCAAGGCGCGGTAAAATTGGGCAGCACAAGTGCTAAAAACGTGTCGCAACAATTTTTTCAACGGCGCTTAGCAAAACAATAAGTGTGTCGATACAAAAAAAATATGCTGAGTACGTAGCGCTGTCGACATTTTCAAATCGCCGACTCGACATTTATTCGTTAGGTGCTGATTTAAAATTATGTAACGCGGTTTGAGGAACCGATTAAGTGAAAAAACCCGACCCCGTTGCGGCCGCAACCGCCGACCCCGATGCAGTTTCCCAACGAAACTCGCCCTCTCCTGCATCCGATGCACGCAACTTCGTATTACACGCCCGGCGGCCGTTCCTGCTACGACCGCAGCGCGCCGGAAAAACCGCACCGACTTTCCGCTGTTATCCTGCCGCGTCCTCCCGGCCTCCTGCGAGAGGCGGGTCCCAACACGCCCTCGCTAGCGCCATGAAATCGCCGCCGTGCTCGGCGCTTCCATTGGCCGACTCCGCGGAACAGATAGCAATCGCTGCATCCTGCAGATAGTTCGGTTCGGGCCGTTTCGCCTCCTGCAAACGATCGATTCTCAATTAGGTCTAAAACGTATGAAAAATGGGTATTAATGTTATTTAGCGGTATTTCTCATGTTCATAAAACGGGTCTTATTCCTGTTTGGATATTATTTTTACTGTTATACGAGTATAACTAACAAAATCTTAGGAATTAATTAATTAGGTAACTCTACAGTTAACTTCTCTTAATTACTCTTCCAAGATTTATTTGGTATCTGCCTATAAAATTTTAGATTATCCAAAATAAAGCTTTATTCCTGCGTTTATCTTACTGATAAATCTATTTATTAGTTGATTCAGCTATAATTTTACAAATGCTCCTACTTAATGTGCATAATTGAAGTTAGTCCTGTAGATAGGTAATGAAAGTTGGAGGTAGATCCTTGATAGGCGGCGTCTAGAAGGGAAGGGCGCCGGTCGGGGGCCGGACGCCGAGCGCCGCGACGGCGAAAGCTCCCCCTACTTCGGCGGACGGGCCGAATTCGCGTCCAGAGATTGCCGCTTTGCTCGGCTTTTCGCTGTCGATGGGAAACTATTCGTCCCCGGTCCGTTCGACGACATTGCACGCGGCGCGACCCAAGGAACTGATTCGAGGCACGGCGGACGCGGCGCGTCGGTTTCGTATCGCAAAAGCGGACGTATTTTGTAAATATCCGAAGGATTGTTTGAAAATAGTGGTCGTTGGCGGGTAAATAAATCATTTTTCTTTCGGCTGGTGCGAACGAGTGATTTCGAGTGGTATTTTTCTTTGGTTTTATTTTGTCGAATATTTTCGGTTTATTTTTTAATGATTATGGAGGATATTCCGGTGGCGTTGAATTTCACTGGTCGGGGAGGTGGTAGTTTGTCTACTGATCATGCTCTTAATGCTGTAAGTTTTTTTTAATTTTTATTAATATCCTATTTCTAGTTTTTGATCTCTTGTAATTCTGGAGAACTAAATTATTATTATCATTGTTATTATTCACACATGCAGCTTCTTTTGTTGTGAATAGTAATGACTGTATAATGAGTATCAAAAAGCATTTAATTTAATGTGTCTTTATTTAATAATAAAACAAACTTTTCATGTCATGCAAACTCTATTTTATTTCGAAAAATAATATAAAAATTGGCGAAAATAAAGTAAAAGTTTATCAGTTCATATCTACTTAACAAAAAATTGATGTGATAAAAATTTCAAAAAATAGTAGAACAATTTTCAAAAACTGGAAATCGAGTAAATATTTAACTGAAAATGGCAATAGAAAATTTAGTTGGGTACTTCTATAAAGGAAGTATAAAAACTGAAAATTTAATTAATTTAATACATGCAGAATATAAAAAATATCTTCCCTGATCCTTGAGCTTTCAAAACGACGGGTCAAGAATATAGAATGAAGCCGATTATCAATTATTACATAAAAACTATTATTTATCTAAAATTTGGAGTACAAAATTAGTAGAAGCACACTTAATATTTTCACCCTTTTGTTTGATTTTTTTTCTAAAAAATCTAAATTGTCTGGGCTAATATCAAATCTTATAAAAGCTCAGTAAACTCAGGGTAAACTCAGTAAAGGTAGGAAAATCGTAAATTCCAAACCGTTTCCATTGAATTTAAAGAAATCGAAAACCACAATTGCCCGTTTTGTTCTCCAAACATCGCCCATTCGAAAAGCTCAGCAAGCCGAGTTCGATCAGTTTTATGGGCTTCTACAGCGCCGGATTGAGGCGAAAAATTCGAAATCTATCTTAATATAAATCAAGAATGTCTATCATCACTATCTAATCCTTGCCAAAGCCACCTTCACAAATTGCTATTCAAAGGAGACGTTGCTTTTATTAGGTATATAGAAAATTCGCTAAATCTCAGTGATTAATTGAAATTGTTAAAATTATTATCCACCTTTTCTCGACAACGTATTGTTTATTTATTTACATAACGACATGAAATAAAAAGTCTATATGTTTACAAACTTTTCCGCTTAGTTTCCTTTAAATAGTCAATTGTTTTTGAAGTGACAGCTCTTGTTGTTGTAAACAGCGAAAATATTTATATAATTATATTAAATAAGTTATTAAAGCTGTATATACATGTGCCCATTTATCCGTATTAAAGTGATAAGGACTATTTTTTTGTACTGATTGCATTGACCTTAGATCAGCGGCGCGTCGTTAATTTCGCGTTTATCGGCCGTTACAATTGAAGGAATCGTTTGTAGAAAGGATAAAGTGTGATCAATAAGTTTTTCGATAGATTACACCAAAGCGCAAATCGTTCGGAAAAATAAATCTTTAGGTAAATTGTTTCGTCTTTTGATATTAGAAAAATTAATCAAAAACTTGAAATGTTCATAATAACTAACGGTATCTAGAATTCTTGCAATTTACTGCATGCTACTAGGAATGTGATATTTTCTGTGTATTTGAAATAATGGTGGTTACTCTGGCGTTTCCGCCACAATTTACATTAAATGAAACTCGAGAATATTACCCACAGGGTTCCGCCGCTGTTCGCGATATATAACGACGTTTTCGAAACTATTTTGTAATGTGCGACAAGATCGTGGCCCGTTTTTCCTACAGATGTACGTCAAAAACAAATTTTTAACGCGATAAGGATTTTATGCGCTGATTTTCGTTTATCGGCGCCCGATTCTCGGACACTCGATAAGCGCTAACGAGGAAGACGATCCGATTAGGCTATGGGATCACGGCAAAGACACGGTTATGTCACTTGTCACATCGATTGTGAATGTCAAAGGCCGAATAGCCTTAGCTACTGAGGCCTCAAAATGTCACATTAAGAAACTGTCAAAGATACCAGAGCACCGCATGATGGAAATTTAATTTCCGAATGAAGTTTATTTCTGTGAGTTCTTGTGATGTGGTAGATTTTTCTAAATTGATTCGGAGTGACTCTACCTTAAACTACATATCATACAGTAAAATATATATCACATGTCACATCGATAGTAAATGTCAAAGGCTGAATTGCCTAAGCAACTGAGGCCTAAAAAGAAACAATATGTCACAAGAAACTTTCATTGTGATATTTTGCAAAGCACGGAACTTAAAAATTTCAGAATAAAGTTTATTTCCGTGAGTTCTGTGATGCGGTAGATTTTTAGATTGACTTCGGTACGACTCTACACAATATTAAAATACTAGAATAAGCGTATGTATTTTATTGTTCCCGATATCAGTTTAATAAATAAATTCGAGCTAACAGGTAGTAAATCTGAGAACAATGAACCATATAATTTAACGAGATGCTTAATTGTTTCAGAAAACCGGCATAGAATGGAGCTATTGTTTGATCTATTAAACGGTCGATTAGTCCGGTCGTAAATTTAGCTTTAATAGGGCATTTGCGCGATTTTCATAAAACCACGAAGGCGCAAAATTTCATTTCTACAATCCTCAAAAATACCCCACACAAATTTATTTTCCCGTCTAATTCGTCAGGTAATATCAAATTTCCCGATTCCCGAAGTGTTTTCGATAAAACAAATTCGTTAGAGCGAAACAATATTCCAAAGTACAAGTAGGTACATTCATTAGACACGATTTATCAACCTTAGAATTGTTCGGATTGTGCAGTTGCTGACTTGGAAGATGTTTTTATCGCCGGTAATTCAATCCGCGTTATAGATACAGATCGTTGACATGCGATGGGACATAAGTCACTGTATTATTTTTTTTTCCATTTATTTTACGATATACCTAGAAGCGTCACACGATAGATACTCGACCGAAACCGTATACGCGCCTATAAAAATTCTAGAATCCAAAAGTTCCTTTATTTTTTTTTGTTCGAAGAACATTTTCGTATATGCAGTTGACAAACAAATAGCTCGCGAGCGTAAATTACGACGGCGTAAATTCGGCCGGCGTTTCGAATTTATTATTTATTTTCCCCGGATATCTGTTTACCAAACAAGATATTTTTCATAAAATCCGCTCCCCAGTCCCCCCGTTGTTTTCGTCGAATCAACGGTACAGCCCGTGCGATTCTCGTCGAGATGAAATGCTTGTTTGCACCGGCGAAAAATTATAAAGCAAATAAACTATTAAAATAGATATCTTTCAGTAAAACGGGCGTTCGCAAGGCGACGGTGTAAATGTTGTGTATTCATATGTCATAACAATATTAACATGAGCATAAATTCCGAGGTCTTATTAGAGCCCGAAACAAATTACAAAATTCGCTCCAATCATAAATTATTTAGGTCCAGCTACCTTTTTAATACACCTCACTTATTCTAATATTTTAATACACAAAAATGCTGTTTTTTATTAGAAAATATAGCCTTTTTTTTAAAGCTCCGTGAAGCTTTAGGTTGAATAGTTAAACGTTAAAACATTTACCCAGGCGACACAAGTGAAGCGAGTAACATAATCTGAAAAGACATTAAAGAGCGATTTTTTTCGAGTTGGTCAGCGCATTGCTCGTACGTGCTCTGGCAATATCTTAAAGAACATAAATATCGAGTTATCGCCGCTGAGAAGCGAAATAAATCTATCAAACCGAATATAATAAGCCAACAGAGCTGCTGAATTTGTAAAATAAATCCTGAAATAAAGCGCACGAAACCGGTCATTTCCAATAGGCCAGGATCGTATTCACCGAAATTTTATCAATTTCCACATATTAATTTTACAATTGTTGAGATTTTCTTTTGAATCGTGGACGTTTATTTTGAATATACTGGTGTAATTCAAAGTAATGTTAATTTATAAAAAAGTGCTGGTCGAGTTGGTTCAGTGAACTTTCAATTGAAATACGTAAATCTAATGAAATCGCAGGTGTGAATAATGTTAATGCTACAAGTCGTGTTGCAAAAGATCCGCGCTTTTACAGAATGCGCAGCATTCCCGGAAAATTGCCAGTAAAGATGAAATGCTGCAAATTCTTCTCAACTGAGGGTAATTACCTACCCAATTTCTCTTCAATTCTTATTAAACTATAGACACAACAATGTAGAAAAGTTGTGGAAGCGCATGAAGCAATGCGAAAGTACCAATAAAATTTTGTATATAGATAGTATTTTTTGTTATTGTTTAAAAATTTGTAACATTCCTGATTTCGGCGCGGTGCGTGTGGATACGTGAGTAAACGTCTTGAGTTTTACGAGGTCATCCATGACATATTAAATGCAAGCAAAAATAGAAATATTGCGAATTTAGCAGAACGTGAGTTTCCTATGTAGAACACCGTCGTCGTTACGCGTCAATTAGAAGCTTTTGTCCACGTTTATTAGTCATGTATTTCTTAGTTCTTCGTTTTCCGTTTCGATTTACGTGAGGTTCTCTCAAACTGATAGCCTAGCAATCGCTGGAAGTTCAGGAAATTATTGAAATAGAAATATTTTTTCTTTTATGGTATACATTCTTTTTAAAATCGAATTAGATAGATATGAATGATTCTAGTGGAAAATTACGTATGAGATATAGATATTCGGATACACCAGTTATTTCGAATAGTTCAAACAACATTCGATAGTAAATTTATAGCTGTCCATTAGTTATTTTTTCTAGGAAATCTACATCACGATTCAGTTATTCCGATAAGTTCCATTATCGACGATGAATTCAAGATTTCGATTATTAACAATTATTCTTCTTTTAGCTATTTCAATTGCCAATTGTTCTTCGTAACAATTAAACGATAGGTACAATAAAATATTAATGGCATCATCAGTGGTCAGACGTTTTTCACATAGACGTTTTATCGATATTCACGGCTCGATTTTCCCCCAATAAAATCGCTAATATATACAAATTCGCTAACGGAAAGCTTCAGAAGCTTTTATATGAAATAAATGATGTTTAACAAAAATTTTGATGTGGTATTATTTAATATATTTTTTTCGTTTCAGGATTTATTAAATTCCGATATACATAAAGTGAAGGCTGAGCCTGACGTGGGGCCATATACGAGCATTTTACCACCTCTTACAACAATTTCAATGCACAATCACGGTAAGTTCTGTTTATTATAATATTAGTATCTAGTTATTCGTCTATTTCTTTATGCCCAAGTATCATTTGCTATTTTTACTACGAACGCTCGAAATGTAGATATAATAACTCGATTTCTGAGCTTTCATACATTTTTTTATTTTCTATATATCCAAACTACACGGTGTATCTAATTTTAAACGATTCTACGAGTGCAGAAGCGCATAAACATCGTATGGAAGACTTTTATGAAATATCCAAGAAATTTATCGCCGCACTAATACTCTCTAACTAGATATCTTTATTAGATTTTTTCCGGAAATTTATCGGTTTTTTTAGTGCCATAATTTATTTAAAAACATCAAATAATAAACACGCAACATATTAGAAACGGCGTTTAACACATTTTTAACAACCGTGTAATGGTAAACATGTGGATTTTTTTCACGCTTCGATATTTCAAAGACAGGACGGGAAACAGGCCCACTAAATTTCGATATCCCAACGACACATTACTTTAATAGCTAAGATTAGGAGGTTTAAAATCTTCATATCTATTCGATTAATGTGCTAATCTTTAGTAAATTTGTATAGGTAAAATTACAGATAGAGTTTATATTAATCCAATATTAATAATGATTTGAATATACATAAAAAAATTCATTATAAAAGTAATCATATCATTTACAAAGTATTTCAGAGATTACTCAAAATTATTAAAATTATAATTAAAAATATGTCAATCACTTAGGAGCAATAGAAAGTTCACTGCAACGATATTATCATTAAAACAAAGCCCCGGGCACCATATTAACACATCTGGATTAAACATTTTTTTTCAATATTCATTTGAACATTTGATATGATTACTTCGTGAAGGACTTTGATAGTTTTCTATGGATTGCAAAAGACACTTTGTAAACATCTTGTAAACGGTGTGCCGAACTTTGACCTCAAAGAGCACGGGGCAGAAAACTCCAGGGGCAAGAGCACTCAAACAGGCACGTTTCCCGGTTTCTGGCTCGCGACAAAAGGCCGTCGACACTCGATATTGATAAGAGCCTTGCGCGTATGTGCGCTTCGAAGGCGAAAGAGAGCTCGTGGTTTCCATCGAGCTCGGCGAAAACGTGCTCTTCGAGGCGCCCACGCTACGTGCACCTGCCCGACCCCGTCAACGACAGCTCGGATTATCAAACAGCGTCGCTCTGTATATTTTTTTGTACACCAAACTTCACTGAAAACAAGCGTAGTAGTTGTCAAAGACATCTACAATCTACACGATCGACAAGGTATTATTTCAAACATAAAATTTGTTCGTCTAATTCACGAGACTTTGCGATGGTTTATGAGAATTGAAGAATGTACATGTGGATTTCGAACAAATCGACGAGCCGCTGGATTTTCTGGTCGATTTTTTTTGTCGAATTTACAGCTGACAGAGTCGAGCGAATAAATCATCCCGAACGTATTAGCGGAACAAGGGAATTTAAAGTTTATGCGATGCAAAGCAAATTGGATCTGGCACTTAAGCAAACACTTCTACGCTCCATTACGACTGTCACGTGTGCGAACAGGCTTTGCGAATTTATCTGAGCGATTGTAATTCCTTTGAATATTAGAATAAAATCTAAACAAACACGCGATTTGTTCGAAACATTATTAGTAGAAGCGCCGAAATGTTCACTTGCTTGTTCTTCAGATCTATAATGTAACACCCTTTGATGGTGCTCCTGTTGATGAGTGATTGTCTTTATTAGCAGCAAATTCAAATTCTCGTACGAAACTAATGAATAATTAGGTGGTAATTGTGTGGATTTGGTCGATAAATCATTTCGATTTTATTTTGTCGCGTGTTTTGCGAGAAAGGATTTTATAAATAACGGCGTGCGGACATCAAAAGGAGCCTGTGTTCGCGAAATACGGCGCGCGTTTCAATGTTTCAAAGGCCGAGATGATTTGTACGTATTGTGCACGTTAAAATGTCTTACGGGCGCGGTTTAATCCAGGCTAATCCTTTGGTCGATGTGAATTTGGCTAGTTTGTAGGCGTCGCGTTTCGATTTAGGCCGGGTGAAAAATTATTAACGCACGTTCGCGACTTTATCGAAAGCGCGTGTTCTCCTCTATTGACCCCAAACCAGTTATCATTTTCGAGATTGAGAGCGATTCCCCGGCCAAGGAAAAAATACACGAGGCAATTTATCAAAAATAAAAATGTACCAGTTTGAATTTCATCCGATGCTACCGAGGATAGAAATGTTTTAGAATCTGGCAGAAATAATTGAATTAACAGAAAAAAAAGGCGAACAATTATCTGGTAAAAATCTAACTTGACTAAAGTGCCAATGGAAGTGGAGCCGATGCGATAGCGATTGAAAACGACCCTGAAGGGGGCTTATCAGAAACGCGGGTTAAGAGTTCATCAGGACAAACAACTCAGATATACGTTCGTGACGTAAAGCCACGTCATTTTATTTAAATATATCGTTCGATCGAGAAAAATATAAAAAGCGTTCAAATAGGTTGAATTCGATTTTCAAAGTCTGGAATATTGAAGATATTAGTTGTTGCGAATTTTTACAATTTCGATCGGCGTTTGTTGATAAATGCGGAAACATAATATTATAGTTTAAATTTAATTTGTTTAAATTTTACATAATATTGTAAATAAACAACGGCTTGTTTCCTGCATATTTTTGTTATCTATTATTATTATTATTTTATCTTCCAAAAACTGTGTATTACACCAGAAGAAATTACAGTTTATTGAAATTAACAAAATTGTATTTGTCAACAAACTAAACTCTTTCTAAACTTACATAAATTGTTCAAAATCTAATGTTTTGAAGGTATACGAATAAATTTTTCAAAATAAAATTGAATCTTTGAATACATTAATATGCGTCTTTCATAATTTATCATTCATCAGACATATACGTTTAAATAATAACACGAGGCCAAGTCGAAAAAAAAATTATCCAAATAGATAAAGATATAATCAGTAATTATTTATTAGCTACCTAATTAAATAAAAATATTCTAATTTAACATAATTAGTTGCCGTTCTTATTAATAGTAATTTCTCAACTTTCTCGATAACAAAACCCTCGATAAATTTGTAAACAAAACGCGCCAAAGCGGCATTGAAAAGACGAAAAAAAAAGCTGTACGTACGTTTCGCAATTGTACCATGAAAATTAAAATATAATGCTCAGCTTGTTTACTATAAATTAGCCAATATTATGTAAATAATATTTTCGCTCCTTCGATTTTAACGTTCTGGTTTCGAAATTGCACGAAATTGACCTAATTTTGATTTATTTCCAATCAATTTCGATAAATTTACTACCTAACAAAAAAAGTACAATGAAAAGTTTAACCTATGGCAATAATTCCATTTACTTTGAAACAAAAAGACGCTAATTTGTCTTTGATTTGATTATTAGATAATAGATTAGATAATCCTTCTTCACAAACAGTAGAAATTAATAAAGCTGTTATAAAAAAAAACCTTATCTATTTTTAATAATTTGACATCAAATTTAACTATAATAATGGTTTTTTTTATGTTTTTTTGCTGTATTATCAGCACTTTACCAAGTTAATTCGGCCACTGACATTTTCATAAATATTTAAATTATTACATCTGGGTTATAGAGTGCTATGCTTATTGCTAGTTGCAAAAAAACTAGAGCATTGGTAAGCCGGCGCGATGCAAACGTGCCGTTTTGTAGTAAAGCATCCGAGCTCCAATTAGACCCCATTATTATTCATCCCGTAGGATATATTCTTCAATTTCGTAAACAAAACAAATGGCAATTTCGGCGGGCGGGCGTATCGAATATCATCGCTTCGCCTATATCTGGCACGCGTTCGAGCGAACCGAAATGTATATTAGCCCCGCGAAGCGCTAAAATTAAGCTAATTAGCTATCGCACCCCCACGACCCGGGGCTATGCGAGAGCTCGATTTCACCTGCCTCCCGAGCCGCCAATTAGGGGGCACAGCAGCCATCGTGCGGGAGGTTAAACTGCAGATTCTGCTCGACGTTAATTAGTTAATTCGTTAATTGGAAGTGAATCGCCCGGAAGCTAAAACTCATCTCCCATTTTTCTCTTTCTATGATTTTATTTGCTGATACAAAAACAGAAAGAAATAGCATCTCCTCAGATTCTTTATATTGCATCGTTCTCACTCTAACTACAGTTAATCTAATAACCTCTCTTTATTCAACTTATACTGCAAAAAACCTGCACTTACCCATAATGTCTCTTTCATGGAGTATTTAAATGATTGGGGGAATATTTTTGTCCGTTTTGCAGCTCTATCTCCCGTGTCGACGTACAACGCGATCTCGAACAGCTCCCTGACGGTGTCGACGACGCCGGGGCCCCACACGCCGGGCGTCGATTCCAACGAGGAGACCCAGGCGCCGGCGACGTCGTCGTGCAACTCGCCGCAGCCGTCGTCGTCGACGTCGAACGCGACCGGCAAGGACCCCAGCAAGCCGCCCTACTCGTACGTGGCGCTCATCTCCATGGCCATATTGAGCACGCACCAGAAGCGCGCCACGCTGTCAGAAATCTACCAGTACATCACCTCAAAGTTCCCGTTCTACGAGAAGAACAAGAAGGGCTGGCAGAACTCCATCAGGCACAATTTGAGCCTCAACGAGTGCTTCGTTAAGGTAGGTGATTGGCGAGTTTATTTGTTCGTGATATTGACAGATTGGATTGACGTTGACGTGATTTGATTCACTGGTCACTTGATAAATTGTAAATAGCATAATTATGAAAGAATACGTCAATGTGTTTGAAATGAATGGAAATTGAATATTTTTGCAGTACTTATGCAGTACTTACTTTAAAAAATTCATATTCAAAGTATTCTTAGTCTAAGTACTTATCATGAGAAATTCCATTGACTGATTAGAATGACATTGACATAATCGGATTTTTTTCAATAATTACTCAAGCACTGATCACTTGATAAATTAGTTTTAACCACGGTCATATACGTAGATACAAATATATCTAGCCATAAATGACCGTGGTCTAAACATACAATTGACACAACTGTCAAAAATATTAAAATTATGAAAATGAGATATTTTTTCATATGTACATATTTACATTTACTTACAAAAATTCATCTCTAGTTCTTTTTAGCTCAAAAGTTATTTCAGTCACAAGAGAAACTTTATTGACAGATTAGATTGACATTGACAGAACCGGATTTTTTTAATAATCCCTCAGTCACTGATCACTTGATAAATTAGTTCAACCAAATAAATCATACAACTGCCAAAAAAAATTAAAATTATGAAAATGAGATATTTTTACATATGTAGAGCGGGTGGATTTTCTCATGAACACTACGTCATCGTTGCGCGACCGACCAAATTGCTACCCGAAAAATTATATTAACTATCTTGACAATATTCGGCATTCGATTTGCATCGCTTGCCTAGAGCGGATCTACCCTGAATACCGATATTAGGGATAAGCGATACCAAGGAAAGCGAGAGCCGATGTTTTTGTAACAAACTTTTGCGAAATTTTGACCTGTTGCCACTTCATAGTCGCGCACAGCGCTGCCGTATTGACTGTTCATGAGATAATCCACGCGCTCTAATAGTTTTTATTCCTAATTATAGTGCATGAGTAATAAGTTTAAGTAATAAGCCTACTAGATATTTGAAATTTGACATTTCTAGATTATAGAAAAAACAGGCAACTTGATATAAAGGTGTTCGGCATATGACGAGTATAGAATAGAATTAGAGCAGCGGGTTAATTGCATTTCAGGTGCCGCGCGAAGGAGGCGGCGAGCGCAAAGGCAACTTCTGGACGCTGGACCCGAGCTACGAGGACATGTTCGAAAACGGCAACTACCGTCGCCGGCGAAGAATGAAACGGCCCTACCGCTCCGCCCAGCCCTACCCGAAGGCCTACTTCGGCGACGCCCTCGGCCAGCACGGCCTGCCTTTAGCCCGGAACATATTTACGCCCCCGGCGTATCCGCCGGCGTACACCAGGTTAGCTAAGCCCGCGCTATCTACGCCCGATCGAGATTTACCTTGTGCTGTTTAATTCGCAGATACGAAGCCCCGTGGCTGGGCCAATCGCAGCTGACGCCCTACACGAGCAGCAACACCGGCGCCTTCCCGCAGCAGAGCTACCCGTCGGCGGCGGCGTTCAGCACCTGCGGCGTGCGGCAGGAGGCGGCTAACAGGTACCCGTCGTATTGGCACCCCGACGGGGATTACTCCCCCGGGCCGCATTGCTCGCCGCCCAACGACCCCCAATTGCTGCTTCAGTGGTGACTGTGACGCAGGATGGACGATTGATCGAGCGCGGGTGATGAGAAACTCTTGTACATACAACATTGATTTTTTTCTTCTGTTTTTTTTATTGTGATGTCCGTGGTAAAGTGGTCATTTTTTACGAAGCACCTGTAGAATTTTCTGGGAAGTGGGTAATATTCGAGCGCCCAAATTGTCTTCTAAATTGGTTTTTGCGATAGATTTCTGCATTTCCGAAATTATCATCATCTCTTTTTGATCACTTTACTCTTTGTAATATTGTACAAATGTGGGAATTGTAAATAAAACTTGTCTCTACTTAGGGCGCATAATCCAAATACAATTAGTTGGTAATTTTAATATGTTCGGATTTTTTTAGATAACTACTTATCTTTGAAGCACTGCGAAGATATAATTTTTGTTTTAAATTTTTCGTTTGAATGGAACAAAACGAGGTGACTTCTTTAAAAATTTCACTGTACGTAAATATCAGGGGCGGGCGGGCCAAAGGGGATTAGCGGTGATTCTCCGAAGGGTCGGTTACTAATGAGAGCCGGTACGATCCTGTCCGGGGGAAATTATGAATTTTATTTTCACTCATATTTATGCTAAGTTTCACTTTGCTAGTCCGCTCCTGGTAGATATTGTGCATTGAAACACATGAAATTTGTTGAGTTTAATCAATTTATGTGATAAGAATAAAAGAATTGCGTGAACACCCACCCAGTGGGGCGATGAGAAAAGTGACTTAATTAAACGTGCATTTAAATTTAAACTAACAATTTTTAGAAAGTCACTGCCGATTTATTTTGTAATTTCTCCTATTTCTTCTATACCTACACAAGAGTTTAATTCGTTTACAAATTTCAAGATGTAATTACTTTTTTATTCCGTCCTTAGTGCATTACTCGGACTCTAATCGGTCCGCTTTTGTATAGTGCTGTATTTATGTAATTTAAACTTGTATAGTAAAAGTTCTGTTTATGTCAAACGCGTTTATTTTCGTACGCCAAACAATTAATCCCTTGATTCCGCCGAATCGAAACTCGAAGATATCAAAAATAAAACTCCCGTTAAAAAGTCCACGGGAAAAATATAGGGCTATTAGATTTGTCGGGCGATTTAATCCCCATAAGCGCGAGCGCCGTAATTCATCCGAACTAATCACCTCTAACGTTAATGCCATTTTTTCTGGCATGTTTATTTTATCCGCTCAAATTTTATTAGCTGTTACCAGTCCGGTCAACGTGTCTATTTTCGAAAAGTCGAAGTGCTTCCTCCGTTTCCTAACCGAAAATTAAATATATCGAGACGTTTGTGACCGGCGATAAATTTCGTTTAACGCGAGATCTTCGGCTCGGTTGATATATTTTGTTTTCAATGCGCTCCGAGACTTTTTTTCCACTCGGGCGACTAAATTAAGAATCGAATATTAACCGTGATTAATGCGGAATTACTCGCGATTCATCAAAAATTATATGGGTTAATCGTCGCATTGTAATTTCGGGTTTAATTGAGGTATCTTAAAATAATAACGCGCGCGAAAAAAATAAACTATTTAATTTCAAAAATAGTTACACCTGTTTGGAAAATGTCCCGGACGCGCGCACCCCGCTACCTCCGCCTTTTTGGTGATAAGTAATAATGGTATTTACTAGAAAATGATGTGTTTGTAATACAAAGATGATTGTTTGTTGAAAATAGTCACTTTCGTTTACTAAACATTAAGATTTCGAATGACAGTTTTCAAAATAAGCGCGTTTGTGTGCTACCTACGCGCCGTGGGCCGTGTTTTCTCAATTCTCGACAAAAAAAACTATACTTACACCCTGATGTTAATTAAGATTAAAATAAAATCACAAACAAAACCCAGTCACTGCTCAATGTAAGCATAACAAAAAGCAAAAATCAATTCTAATCGTACCTAGTGGCAGTTATACTTCGTTCGCTATCAAGAAGTAGTCAAAAACCTAATGTTTACTTTACTTTAGTAGTGCCACTCTGTATACAGGGTGTTTAATAATAGGCAACCCTTTTGTAATCCCAGATAAAGTGACCTAATGGCACTGCGGAATAGCATCTACTTCTGCAATAGTGCAATGCAACACTTTTTATTTATTTGTTGGTTTACTGCTACAAGAAGGTTTTATTTCAATCTCCTGATAGCGAACGGCGTAAAATAATCGTGGAAATGAGACGAAAATAAGTCATTAAAGTTGGGAAAAATTATGCTGAAAGCTCGTCGAACATCCCCTAAAAGAAAAAAAGGTCGCTTTGAAGTCGACGCGACGCGAACTCACGTGTTGAAACTGTCGAAATCGAAGAAAAAACTCGGGCAGCTGAACGACGTTAAGCGGTGAGTGGCTCTCACGTCGGCCGGATATACCTTTAAATCTATTACTTCCATCCCTTTTACCACTTGTCTCTCCCCAAGCAGGAGCGCCACAAATATTAGAAATCTTTCTTCTAGTGTTGCTAGTGAGCTATGGAATGGGCTTTAAAATACTGGTTTTTTATACACAAATGTTTCAACAGATTCAAGAAATTGCCAGGGTATCAACAATCATAGCTTAATCACATTACAGGAACTGCAGAAGCAGGTAAGTATAAACATTCTACGCTACTGAATGGAAGCATCCCCTAATACACATTCGACTACTTCACACTCTTCCTCCTGCTCCTCATTTAGTGCTAAATACTTGAATAGTATTTACTAAACAAGATATTTTACTCAGAGCTGCCGACTGTTAAAAATGTCAAACATAAATCATTAGACGAGCAGTTAAAAGGACCGCCCTGGAGCTTAAAAGCTGCACGACGCGTTAATTTGATTTTCTATTTTGAACAAACATTTCACGCAAACGATACAACAAATGTATCAATTCGAATTTTCGATGTATATGGGAATCCCGGTAGTGCGATTTTGAGAAAAGAAAAGTGTTGATGCTCTCGCAATGCCCGAAAACTCTATTAATAAACGCATTAAATCTCACCGACGGTAATGCGATTTGACTCTTCGAATCCCAAATCACCCGGTTGTTTACAGATTTTTTTCTGAAAATAACACCCATTATTGCGGTGTACCCTGGCAGTTGTTGTTTCGGGCCGATTTATCGCCGTTGGAATAAAGGCCTGTCGACTTAAACGTTTTAGATGCCTCAATAACAGTCTAACTGTTGGCAAAAATACATTTTTCGAACGCTTCGATATAACTTCGTTGAAGAAAAATCGCTCATCATCGAAACTTGTTTGCACATCTACCGAAGGTCGGTACATAAAAATACCGATCTATCACCGCAACTAACGCCCTGTCCGTTAGATTTTCGTACGAATTAATTCATCGAGTTGTCGCACTCCCACTCCGCGCCGTATCGCCTGTGCCCAGTTGTTCCCTATAAATTACCGGGGCCCGGTAGCGCTTTTATTTTTATCGCTTCGCGTGTCTTTACAAAATGCCTTCGGGATTTCGTCGCCTTCGACTCCACGCCAATTAATCGAACCAACGCCGGCCTTGTTAACGATGACAGGACAATATTCGGTGGTCCCTGAGTTTCGTAACCCAGTCATTAATACCGATGAAAAAGCGCATCGGATAATCCAGCTCGTCTCTCCATTATTTTGGTGAATTTACAGGAAGGTGGAGGTGTACTCAAAGAGGGAGTATTGTGAGGAATTTGGTTAATATTTCTTGTAACCTAGTACCTTAGGATGTAAGTGAAAAAGTGTTTTAGGATTTGTATGATGTATCAAATGTAGATTGAAAAGTATCAATAAATAGTTGAGATAATGGAAGTCATCTTCAGAGAGCTCCAGATCTTAGATCACTCTCTCTTTCCTAGAACTTTTCTATCTAAAGATAGATTGTTGTGAGGTCTTTGATCAATATTTCAGGTAATCTAGTACCTACCAAAGAATGTTAGTGAAAAAGTGTTTTTAGGATCCTTATAATGCACCAAAAGTAGACCGAAAAGTATCAATAAAGAATTGAGATAATGGAAGCTCATCGTCAGAGAGCTCCAGGTGATAGATCACAAGCAGTTACTCCAATGACCCACATTATTAGAAGTATCCATCATCACCCTGTATAGGTTCCTGGGTCCTCTCCACGAGCAAATCAACCTCGTGGAGCGATGGGCCTTCGACCACTTAACGACGCGTCGGCGTCGTCGCCGCGGCTCCTCGAATTTCACCGGCGTCATCTCCAGCCGAAGTGGCACTTTCCACGTACTCAGCTGTCGGCAGTACGTCTTGCGTAGAGAGCCGGGCTAGCGCTGATCGAAATGCTATTTTAAAAAGGGACATCCATCTCGACGGCATTCCGGCCTAATCCCCGAGGACGGGCTCTTCTTCTGCTAATAGAACGCCGAGAAATAGGAAACGTCGGGGATTTTTTATGTACGATTGTTGGCGTGTTTTGGAAATGGTGATCCGCGCTGGTGGGATGAGTCAATGCACTGGGTATTTGATATCCAGCGTGAGGCAATATTTTGTAATCCTAAAGCAAGTTTGCGTTAAAACAGAAATAATTTAATAAAGAAATAATTTTCCTAATATTTCGCCACGTTTCTTCTCCTATTTAGGTATAAATTGGAACTATTTACAACACCATTAGCAGCGAAACGAGCCGTGCATCGTGCGAGAGTTATAAGTTCCTTCGGGATTCTCGGCATTGCATCGCGCATCGCGTGCTATTAAAAGAAAGATTTATGTGAAAAAAAGCGTCTTTCCTAAATGTCTACAAATTGTCGTTGCGGCAAATGAGAGCCATTTATCAACGGGTTAATACCGAGCTGTGCGTAGCGCTGAGTTAATTTCGTGCTGGTGCTAACCCTTTTAATTCGTATATTTGTTGACGTTTTTATTTGTTTGGCATTTTTCGGATTTATACGGCTTTTCGCGAGACCGTCGAATGCGGTTTTTTTGCCGCGTTACGTGCGAAATGACGTCGGAATTCGGAATGCGAGCAGGGAAATTGATGGAATATTTTTTTCGCTTATTTTCAATACCGGCACTTCACCTATCTATTAAGTCTCTTGTATTAACGAGATTATTTTAAGGAGTTCTTGAATTTATCTCTGCATGTTTTGAAAGGATATAAAGAGACGATATTGTATGCTCGTAAAATCGTATTGTCATTTGCGCGATGAAATTAATGAGGCAATTTTATCACTGTTTAAAATAAACCTAAAATTGATTTGTTGATTATATTGACCTTTCGACATATTACACGTATTAATCGTTGGTAGAGTGTTTACAGCAGTTTGTTTAAAGGCAGATAGATACACGATCGAGTTTTATACTACTACCAATAATAAGTAAGTTAAATTGCGAATAAATTTAAAGCTACAAATAGGGTATGAAATGTTTATTTTTTTAGTGTTTGTCTTGGCACTTTTGTTGTTAATCGCTGGTGAAATATGGGCCAGGGAAGTGGTCGTGCCGAGAGTACCGCCGGAACCATTTCAAGCGGCACTTATGGCTCGGTACATCATACATAACACAGGTTCGGTGCAAATTTAAATAAAAATTGTATCTCTCGTATACTCAGACAATCTCATTTTATCTAACTTTGCTGATGCATATAATTATCGATATTTTTAGGATGGGTTTCTATTGCAACAATTTCAACGCAAGAAGCGATCAAGGGGTACCCGTTTGTAAGTTTGAAATCTCTTAGCGATGGTACTAGCCAAAATTCGACAGGTGTACCTTATTTGTACATGACGGAAATGGATGTGTCTGGTAAAGACATCCAAGTAAGATTATATTATCAATAAAAGTCGAGTAAATCAGCGAGAATAATTTTTAGAGCAACAACAACGTCTCTATAATGGCTACGCTAGCTGAAACTGACTATTGTGAGAGTAAAAATTTCGATCCTCAAGATCCAAGATGTGCTAAAGTACTAATATCGGGGAAATTAATTAAAGTGAGTTAATTATTTTGATACAAATGTACAAACTTATGAAAATATTTTTAGATCGAAAAATCCACTCCAGAATACAATTTCGGAATGCAAGCCCTTTTTGATAAGCATCCATCAATGAAGGATTGGCCTAAGGGTAATTATGCAGTATACACCTTGGATCATTTCAGTTTGCAATATGGTCATTTCTACGAGTTGAACAAAGAACGGTTAAGAAAAAGATAGTTGTCAGAGTGAAAAGTTGAATTGATGTAATATCACTCTTTCTTTTTCCTTTATAAGTGTCTAGGAAGCTGTCTTTACCGCACCACAACCATTTGCAAACTAAAATGATCAACCTGTATAATTGGATTTCCCTCAATTATTTGTGTTTGTTTCAGATCATAAATTTTACCTGGCCAAAGTAGAACTTGAGCAAATCGAAGTTCTAGATTTCTTTGGTGGATTAAAACACGTAACGAACAAAGACTATTTCAGCGCCAACATTACAGAACTGATAAACTTGGATATGCAATTCAAAGATGTTTCGATTATTGAAATCGAGAATTTTTGACAACAATAAAATATCAAAAGCGTTTATTCTTAAAATTACAAATATTTAATAAGTATAAGTCTTATATAAAATGAATAAATAAAGTATTAATTATTGTGTAATCAATATAATTAGTCGTTTATGTTAAAATTGGAATGAAATCTGGCTTTACCCAGCTAAATTTTCCAAGTTTGTTTGTAAACAATGCATCAAAGAATGCCGTGAATTTTCAATAACAAAATTGCTGGTAACATAAACGATAATACATTGGCTTATTTGAAACTCAGGCAACTCCTCAGCGAAGCTATCGATCCTCCTGCTACCTTAAAAGCCAAACCCCCGGTAACAATTAAAATTACGTACAAAGGTATTATACACCCCCAGCTACTAACGTAACTATTTAATAAAGTTAAATACGAGGCTAATAAGTGCGAACAAACAACGAAACCCGCATGAACCCAATTTCTGTTATCACAAGCGTCGAAGAATATCACACTCCAGAAAGTATTCAATAAAATGAAGCATAAACTGAGGCAGGAACTGATGAGGAAGAACATCTCGTTTCCGGACTTGAGTCCCATCGTTCCGGGTCCTATCGAGTCCGCCAAAATGTTCACTACAGCGAACGCTCCGCTCATTATTCCGAATCCCAATCCGCTCACGTAGGCCAGAATGTGCTTGTTCTCGATCAGCGCTGTGCTGTTGTCCGTTATCTTCTTCAAACCGTTCTGGGCTTTCCTCAGTATCTTGTAGATAATGTACCTGAAGGCTTCTTGAAACACGACGGTGTAAAATATCGCGAACTCCAAGTTGGACCGAATGGGCACCAGGGCGAACCAAAGCGTCGAAGACAGCAGCAGGGCCACCAGCCAAAAGAAGGCCGCAGCCATCAGAATGATTATTCTTATTGGATCGTGGGCGATGGTGAAGATGAACATCGCGAAAGGGGGCCCGAAGGCCAAGAATGTGCAACCGAAAAAGTCCGCTAGCGTCATTTTATCACCCGCATTTGTTTCAAACTTAAATTAGAAATGTATTTATTTGTTTTTCAAAGTAATTGTTAATGGTGAAATTGACAGTTAGTTTATTACTCATACGTCAATTGTGACAATTGACGTTGACTTGACAAGTCAAATATTCTTCGTATTTAAATGGGCTAGGGTATATAGAGTATTCGGTTCAAAATTTTTTGATTTCGGTAGGTGACAATGACAGCTGACGTGACGGATAACACTGATGACAGGAGTTTTTTAATGGAGTTTTTGTGATTCTAACCTCCGGCCTAAGTTGGTCTTTGTATAAAATTGCGATTTTTCTTCAAATTTCTTGAGGCAAAAGCATAGAAAATGGCCTTCAATTTTCCAGCTTTCTCCTACATAATCGCCCTCATTGTCGACGCCTTCTTAATATTTTTCTCGTTGTTTCACGTTATTGCCTTCGACGAGCTAAAAACCGATTACAAAAATCCAATTGATCAATGCAATAGTTTGAATCCGGTAAGTGGTTTGTTGATATCTTATTTTCTACAAGTTTTAAACACGTACGATACATCTCACATATCATTCAATAACACTTTATTAATGCACAACAATAATTTATGACGCTGACAATTAACATTAATTATCTAGTTATTTATTCGTTTAATTGTTTTTAATTCATGTACATACTAATGAAGTTGTTATTCCCAATTATTTGTTTTAGCTGGTTCTACCTGAATATTTACTGCATATATTGTTCAACGTGCTCTTCGCTGCCTCCGGAGAATGGTTCTCGCTGTGCTTAAATGTCCCCCTTATAGCGTATCACATCAACAGGTATCGAACGAGACCTGTAATGTCCGGATACGGAATTTACGATCCCACTAGCATAATGAATGCGGACGTACTTACGAGGTGCCAACGGGAAGGGTGGATTAAGCTAGCTTTTTACCTTCTTAGTTTTTTCTATTATCTCTATGGGTACGTCATAGCTTTAGAAAACGATCATATCGAGCATACGTGAAATTAGAAAATCATCCATACGATGACACCAGTGACGTTGTTTCGAATGAATGATTTTCTAGTTCTTGTACATTTATTTTCGGTGCATCATCTATTTATTTTACTTGCTGTACATATTTTAGGGAAGGATTTTATAAATAAACTTGAAGTTATATTTATTAGGATAAGTAGGTTAATCGTTTGGAGATGATTAACGAATTTCCCGATTATTCGTTTTTTATTGAAGCTTTATTAACTCTACGTCATCACATTTTCAGAATAATTTATTATTTACGACTGATTTTCATTAAAATGTATCAGTATTTTAAAATTTAATGGGTACATTAAACAATGGTCTCTCTTTAAACATTACATAATTGTGCAATTAAATGTTTTATTGTTTACTTAACGTAAGTGAATTCGTAACTTACTGAATAATATAAAGGTATCTCTGAAAGAGATAAGGTTTCATCTATCTTACAGGGTTCACACAATACAATCATAATCACTCTAATTGAAAATGTTTTAATCTGGGGAGTAAACAGATATGATGTATTAAATGGAATCAAAATTTATATTTTTTAGTTTAAAATAACAAATAATATACTAATATTAATTGCATTTCAAACGATTGTTTTTGATGTATCTTTTTACTTCCCTGAGGAGCTTTTGTACAGAACCGAAATCCCTAACGTTTTCCCTATTTGTTCCAGAATGATATATGTGTTAATATCCAATTGAATCGCGACGACTGCCGACCGTTCGTCAAGATAATAAAACTCATTAGTTCGTTAGCAACAAATATAAAGACAGTCGGGAATTCGGTTCTCTATTATGCAATGCTTTTTGTCTGGTGATGAGATTCTTTGAAGATAGAAATGCATAATTAGCAGAACTGACTTACCCACACGCAGGTACGCCGCAATTTTTTCTTTCTTTTCTTTTGTTACTTTTTTTGTAAATTGTGCAAAACCTCCATGTTGGTTTGGCGCAAAAATGTTCATTGCAAGGTGTTTTTTATGTAGAATTGATTCGTTTGTACTGATTGCTAATAAAACAACATTTTAGTTTAATGCAGTTTTTTTTTGAATCGGCCATCGACAAATAAACAAACAATTTACGCTCACAATTTACTTTATTATAACAAAATTAGTATTTGTAATATGTGTAAACATCTAAAAAACTGACCTGTTTACGTACAGAGATTATTGTATAATTTAACCATATAAAATACATAGAAATATTTGAAAAAATAATATATATTCGTTTTATATACAATACAATTCAAAAAAACTGCAAAATAAAAAGCTAAAATATTTGTTTTTAGTATGTGAAATAATCTTAGTCTAATATACAGACTTTTTTAAACATGTTAACAAAATGAAAAGCAAAATTAATTTGTACAGCTATTGAGTTATTTGGTTAACTTTGGAATGATTAGTAAAAAACAGTTATTCAGGAACTAAATATTAATAATTTCATTTGATTTAATTTCCTTATTTTGTTAATTCACAGTTTCTTAATATGGGCCATTAGAAAACTAACTTGTAACTAAACTGTAATAAAATCCTGAATATTCCTGTTTTTGAAATTCAATATTATTTACCATAATGTACTTACAAATAAAAATATTAATTAATACTATTTCATTTATAGATATATCAAATTATACAGGGTGTTTCTAAATAATTTTAGATGGAAAAAGTCAGACAGCTTCAGTTACATAGTAAAAAATCGTGGAAAGTTTGTATCAAAAATCAGACTATTCTTAAGAAACACCCAATATACTTCAGGTACTAATTAATTAATGTTTTAGACTATTACGTAATTAAATCATGAAAATATTCTGCAATTGTTATTACAGCTCAAAATTGTCAATTTTTGCTCCATCTCGATCTTAAAGAAAAAATAGCCTAAAACCTTAAATAACAATTTAATAGGAGATATATTGATAATTTTGTTCATATTCATAAAAGAGTCTAAATATGGACAGTTTTTTGTTGAGATCAGAATTACTTTTTACCCATATAATTCAAATGGGTATAAAAAATGCAATAAACAATAATTGGCATCATAACTGATACAAACGAGATCAGAGTAATCCTTATCAGTTAATCATTTTGTAACATAAAAATTTATGAGCATCTCTTCCTTTTATACTTAAATAAACGATATAAATTAATAAAGAGTAAATAATTTTAAAATAGGAATGAAGAGTTAATACAAAATATGTGCATATAGGAATATTAAACTTCTAGATAAATAAGGCAAGACAAAAGCAAAGTATAATCTTATCAAAAAAAACTCAAGATCCTAGAGGCTGAAAAATAAATCACATTATTAATATATACAAAATAAACATTCAAATTAAATAATACCTGTAAGGATAAATTAATTCCCTAACTTCTCGAGCAACCACTCTTCAGTAAGATCTTCCAATTCCCTGATCTCATAGGCCCTCGTCAACTCGGCTTCTTTTTGCAAAGCTATCTTTGATCCGGCGTACATCATTTGCAGCTCGGCATGGCTATCTCTCGGTGTGAAAAAAATGAAACACAAAGGAAAAGATACCCTCCCGTCTTTATGCGCTTGCCTGTAAGAGAGCACAACATACCTGGGCTGGTGGCTGGGCAAAGACTCTTGCAGTTGATCTACAGAAATATCCTCAAATTTCTCATCGACTATTATTTCTTGTTTTTCGCGATCAACTTTTACTGAAATGCGCGAGTTTATTATTATGGAGGAGCGGTAAACTAAATTGAATACGTACGAACAAGAGCTGCTGTATCGTTGCCTTTTCTAAAGCGAAAATCTTTCAACGCCTGCTTGACTTCCGGGGTTACACTGCAAATATTTACACTGCCACCAGACTAAAATTAAACTACGGTTAAAATAATTTATGCTCTATTTCAGAACTGTTCTTACCATAATTGTGCCCCAATTTTATCGTATGTAAAAATGAATTTGGATGACTAACTTCTAATCTTCTAAATAAAATAAATACCTAACCTAACCTATTAAGATTAGAACAATAGAACCATTTATTTTGATAATATTGACGTGGTAGATGTCATTTTTTGACATAGGACACAAACAACATAAAACAATAAATAATTAACTACACACATCTATAAATTTGAGCGTAAATTTTAGTTTCAGTAGCTCTTAGTTCGATCAAACAAAAACAAATAATAATTCAGTATATACTATATAGTAAATTAAATAAGTTTTTAGGTCTAATTTGCAAATTTTACAATCACTCTTCTGTTATTAACAGTGGCCTCTTACCTCTCAATATTCTGGTGCATTCATTTGGCAATTTTCTACAACAAAAAGTTTATTCCATAATATTTTGCTTTATAGTATTTGATCTTATGAACAATACTTAAAAATGAGTAAGTAATGGACAAATATTTCAGGAAAATTCAAATTTAGCGGTAGTTGGACGGAACGCCCTTGAGAGCTTTGATTGGTCGACGGGATAAGTCTTTTGATAATTTGATTGCTGTGGCTTTGACTGTGACTGTGTAGTTCTATGTGAGATGGCGTCGAGTTCGTTTGTATTTTGACGTTACTGATAAACAAATACCGATAAAATACAAAATTCGCGGCGCTCTACTCCAAACTGGTTTTAATTAAATAATTTTCGTGGACATTCGAGAAATTAATTTCGACCGACATGTTCTCCTTGAATTATGCCTTCTGTGTAAGTATTGTTAGAATACCTGTAGTGACTTTAATTTTGTGGTTTTGTTTAGATGAAGTTGGCGTAAATTTTGGGATTTTTGAACGGTACGTGATTCTAAAAAAAATAATTGATTGGGTATAATTGGATGTTGGTTTAAATGAGTTGTAATTTTGTCTGCATAATAACCTAACCTATTTTTTTAATGGCAAAAGGGCAGTTTCTGATTTTTTTAAACCGAACATGTTTTTCTTAGAATGACGACTTTAATATTGTTTATAACTAGTATTTGATAAAATATCTAGTTTTCCATGAATATTATTGTTTTGGCATGAAACATCTTAGATAATTTTTGATATATCTCAAATTTTATTTGTATTTTCAAACATTATCCTAAATATTCCACCTTGGATACAGGCCCTGTCGTTTATCACATAATATGGTCACCTCCATAAACTTATCAAAAAATATTCGATAATTAAACTCAGTAAAATCCAGTTTTATTCAAGTTTAATATAGGTGCTTTCATTATAAATTATTATCAATATATTGTGTTACGAAAATAACACTATTATGTTCATTAATTTATTTATTCAGTATTATATAAAACATGATATTATCGTAATTGGTGTTTTTATACTTGTTTCTCTAATTTATAATGCTCATATTGTTACCAAAATTATCAGCAATTATTTCCATTTCTCGGGGAACCCCAGAAAAATACTGCAGATTACTCTTATGGCGAAATTTTGGTTCCTCGGGTGATTTTAAGTTTCTCCTATCATATTTCGCTTTGTCTAGTGCAATCTTCAACGTTTCTTATAGAAATTGTGTAACTGACACCAAAATGCTTCTTCCTTTGTTGGCTTTATCCAGCTCTGATTTCCATACAAACCACAACATCTTAAAAACGTACATATGTTATTTATACATATCCGCAGATTACTCGGATTTTACTCGTGATATCAAACTTAATGTTTTTATCACAAAAATATTCGAATCCAAACCTCGCTCTGCTAAAAAAAATCAATTTTTACCGGCATATTTCTGGCTTACACAGCTTATCTAGTTATTTCGTTAATGCAACACAAGACAACATTCTACTCTTGGTATTCGATAACAGAGAGATAATAATAAAAAAACGCAATTCGCATGGCATCATCGTAATTTTAACGGCATTGCACATTAAAATCCCCTGATGGTAAGAATTCGAATTTCGCGATAAATCCACGCGAATCGATAATGTTCTCGATTATTACGGAGAATAGGTATGGAGCGCCCGCTGGAGAATAGCCGAGGCCCCCGGTTCGTTGGAAAACTCGAAATGCCCTGTCAATGTCCGATACTTAACCGGCCTCAATTGCACTCGACCAAAAGAACTGGGGTTGGTCGATCCGCACAGGAAATTATCTGTGATAACGCCAGCATGATTGACCAATTTCATTTAAACGCGCTTCGGTTATTTTGTTTGTACGACGGGCGCGAAACGCGGAATGGGGTTTATCGAAAATTTTATTATTGTTTTCTAAACGAATCGAATTGATTTTTTTGCTTCCTCTTTCAATCTCGTAACTTTAAGGGTTCATTTGACGCGTTACTACATTGCTGTGATTTAATACTTGAAATATTCGTTATAAAGAAAATTGTCTTCTAAATAGTAATTCAGTAATTAAATGACGTGCGTTATTTGCTGTAGACGATGAATGTTGCAGACAATTGAAATGTCGAGTTGAATTTGGGGTAAATCGGTAATCGTGACATATTTTTTTCATTATAATGTACCTCTAGTAGAATAGAAATGAGTAGAGTTTACGGGATTTAAAAGTAAAATTTACAGGACTTCAGAATTTAAGTTCCATTTGAAGTTTCCTAATAGAAACAGAAATTTCTGACAAGTTTTAACAAAGTTTGATTTGCACTTCATTTTAGTTTTTTCGCTTAAAATTCGATTCCCACCTCTATTAAACTTCTGTCATGCGAAATCTTATTAATGTCAATTTTGACAGTTATTGTATCATCAAACGCATCTTAAAGTCCCACTTACTCGCGTTTATACAATAGGATAAATTAATAATCCCCTTTATTGCGCCCAATTTTACATCCGTCCTAATCTTTTAAATCGTACGCGAACTATTAAAAATAAATAACAACAGGTAATAAAGTAAAATAAGCTAGCATCATGCATGCATAACTCTATGTTTTAAACAGGTTTTAGTAGGCAAAATAAGATAATAGCGTTTGAAATTGCCGTGATCTCGTTCGGAAAATTACACCAATTCGTGCCAATACTTACACAATATTTTTTTTTCAAATAGCATCCAGTAATTTTTGTTGAATACAACGGTATTGACACTCATACCTACTGGTCGATTTAATAGAGCTTTTTGTGATTTTACGACCTGCTGAATGCACTTACAAACTATCATTATTTTCCCATAATAATTTTTTATTATAAATCGTTGCAGATGTATTAACGAAACCGTCCAAAGCACCGGTAGATCTCGCTATTAATCAAAGCATTCTATTATGAACGATTGAGCCTCTAGCATCACGTCAAAATGGTAGCGTCTACCAGATTATGCAGGAAAATGTCGCCGAGGTAAGTTCCCGAAAACCTACTGAAAAAAAAAAATCGTCCGAACCCTTCCCCGTTTTCACAGGTGTTTCATCATAACCGCGATCGGCCTGACGGTGATCCTCTGCGTGTACTACACGAGCTACGTGTCGGACATCAATCAGAAAGCCGGCCAGCAATCGGGCGAGGTGGCCGACACCGCCGGGCAGGTCCAGCGGTTCTTCAGGCAAGCGGCGAAGGAAAGCTCGAGGAAAACGGAGCGGGCAATCGGCCAGGGCACCTGCCCGAAATTGACCGCCTCGGAGGCCGACGTGAACACCTTCGAGGTGTTCAAAGACTTCGAGTTCCAGGTGAGTGGAGACTTTCGGGGCGGGATTCGGGATTTTTGCCGGGAGTGTGATTATCCAGCGGCGTGGTGGAATAGTCGCGTGGCCGGAAAAATTCGTATGACGCCGCTGGTTTTTAGTTAGTGGGAGGCCGATGACTAGATAGAAACCGAAATGAATTTCTCCTTATCGATCCGATGAGGCGACGGCCGGGATGCAATTTCCGAGTTTTAACGGTTCCCACTTATTTAATTACTTCTGAACTTCCTATCGCCATAGGAAAAAATCGCCCGATTGGTTTTTTTTTTCACTCGTCCGATACTTCCTTCGGGCGGTGAACGTGTTAATTTAAACATAACTCGACTAATTTAAGCCCTTAAAGTACGATAATTAATGAGCACACCTTGTAGATACTCAATTATTCATTTCAAGTGATAGTGTCATTACGAGGATTAAATACAAAGTAAAATAAGTACTTTTAAAAAATTTATCGAAATTGTATTTTACGATAACGGTAAATAATTTACACGCTAATGTTAACAAGCTAAATTTAATTGTACCTGCCGTAGAATGAACTTAACTGTTAAACTGTTTTAAACTAAATATTTAGTGTTCGCAAATAAACAAAACAGTTGAGATCAAACAAGATTTTTTTCAAAAAATACGTGTTTGTTTAGCGGGCGAGTTCTTTTTTCCGCCTCATCATAAGCACTGCCGGTGCTTTGTTCATCGAACGGGGCTCATTAGACTAATTTTTATTAACGGAATAACCCACTCCTGCACGCGTTCGCCGTCCTTCGCGATGGAAATTCCGCTTTGATGCCTCTCCCAAGTGCCCTAAAAATCCCGAGGCTCGAGGGAAACCCTCCCGACTTGGAGCTTTCGCTTTGGTCAGCAGCGCTTTTTTTTAATTCATTTTCGCGAGCGCCGGCGTCGCTAACTTTAATGGGCTTTTTCTCGGTCCTCGACGAAAATGAAATCGGCTTATTTATGCCGCTTCTGGCGGAAAACAAGCGCGCCGGTTTTCGGTGGATTTTCGGCGATTAAATCGAATGGATTCGATATGTATTGTATAAACGGATCGATTCGTTACGGTGCTGAGCATGAGAGCAATACGAATCGTATCCGTATCGAGAAAATCCGATGGAATAAATAATGATAATCAAAACGGTGCTAGGTGCCTACGGTGCTTGTTCTAATAGCCCGGCCTCGATTTTGCCCGTTCGTGACTCGTTAATGCCTTTTCAAGATATTAAAATTTTTTAAAACGCGATCAATTATTCATATAATTAAATCGATGATTGTTTATCTATATCATTTACTTACCCAAGTACGAATTTTTGCTAACAATTAACAAAGTTTCCCTCAAATTTCCACTGAGAAAACGAGAAAACTACTCTTATACAAAATATTTTACAAGGTGCATAATCGTAATTCATTGATACGAGTATTGTTACATTTACGTGGAGTTCTCGATGCTTTTAATAACAAGTATTGGCATAGAAAATTATCGTATTTCACGGATTAAACTAGACTGCTTTTCGAGGAAGCCGTTCGAATCGTGTCACGATCACGTCCCTGATCTTTGTCGAAGGATTTAATAAAACGCGGAGATATAGGTAAAACGGTTCGAAAATTTTCAATAAAATTCATGCGATGAAATTGGAACTTTCTTTTCAATAAATTTTGTGAATTTTTTTGTGAAAAAATAAATTGGGGATAATTTCGCAGGGTACTGAATATCCTGTAATTTTTATATTCGATTTCGCTATTTCAGCCTGCGTGGATGAAAAGCAAGGAATATTGGGATAAAACGTTCGAGGATCGATACGAACGGCAAAAAATGGATCCCGAAAGGCCACATCTCAAGGTAAGTAGTTTATTTAATTACTGTAATACGATTACATCTTCATAGTACATTAATCCTTATCCAAGTGCCTTCCGTGTATTGTATAAGATATCATATTTTGTAAATACAAGAGGATTTTTATCACTATTTTTATGTTTTTAAAAAGAATTTTAGTAGACCAATTTAAAATTCATTTGATGCGTCAATTGTTAAAAAATAATTAAGTTAAATACTTGTTCCTTTTAATGAGATTTATATTGTGCGTTCGTGGAAAATTTCAAGTACTTCTCAAAAATCTATGTAATATTTTTTTCCGTTTAAGTCCACAAACATTTTCACTCAAATTCCTCATATCTTGGTCGCACCGCAACTCTGCTCCCTAGCCTATTAATTCTAATAATAACTAATCAATTTAAACGGGCCTAATTATATTTTCGTCGGTTTTGAAATTTAAAATTAGCACTTTTCGTCCGTACGTACGGAGGTTTCCTGCTCTTTATTTATTCATTCGTCGTACTCCAGTCGCGTTTCACATGTAACAAACGAATCGCTTCTTCTTCAAATGTAACGAATTGCCGCTATTACTACGTGATGACATTCGGGTCCCCTGGAATTCCTGATAAAATACGAGCTACTTCGCTGCTAAAAAGACTCGATGGAATATAAGCTAATTTTCGCGCATTCGAAGCGAAAACATAACGCGATTGTCGTTTAATTAAATTCATTTTTAGAATAATCTCGGCGTAATGTTCTATTAGATTAAAAACGGAAATTCCATTTTAATTCAAGGATAAAGTTGTGCAATTCGTTCGAGTAGGTCAGAACAATGTCGCGCTAAAAGGCCCAATTTTAATTAGAGATTTTATCGAAAAGAAATTACTCGTGGAAAATGCACTTTCTATCGGCGCCACAATAATCCAGTTCAATAACGATAATCGACCGAAAAACGATCGGAATCTTTTTCGATTAACTCTAATTTCACAATGATTTCACTTTTTAAATTACATTTTCCCAGTAGCTAATAATAGATAAAAATTAAAAGTAGAGCAATAACTGTAAACTGTCGATTAAAGTCGACGCTTCTTTAATAAAAAAATACCTCGCACAATTTATTCTCTTTAGATTACCGTTTATCAACACATTTAGACTCGAAATCTAATTGACCTTCTGATAGTAGCAACATTAAAAATGCTGTAATCGTTAATTCTACGAATTTAGCGTCTTCACATAGTTTTTTACGTAACGCGAAATATACAGGGCCAAATGAATTTATCCCAAAAGCAATTAATTTCAATTCCCAGGTGATCATCGTTCCCCATTCGCACAACGATCCGGGCTGGTTGAAAACGTTCGAGCACTATTTCCACTCGACCTCGCGCCAAATCATGAACAACATGGTGTCGAAGTTGCAGCAAAATAAGAATTTCACGTTCATGTGGTCGGAAATATCGTTCCTGAACGCCTGGTGGGAGGAGGCGCATCCCAGCAAGCAGCGCGCCCTCAGGGAGCTGGTGCAATCCGGCCGATTGGAAATTACCACCGGCGGTTGGGTGATGACGGACGAGGCCAATGTGCACTTGTTCGCGATGGTCAATCAGCTCATCGAAGGTAATTCGATGATTGCAGTGGAAACGAGTCGTGAGTTTGCGCGTCGCTGTTTCAGGTCACCAATGGGTCTGGTCCAATCTCGGTATTAAGCCACAAACTGGCTGGTCTATAGATCCCTTCGGTCACGGTAATACAGTACCTTATATACTAGCAGCTTCTGGGTTGAAGGGTACTGTAATTCAAAGGATTCACTACGCTTGGAAGCAATGGTTGGCTATGAAGCAGTATGGTGATTTCAAATGGATACCCGGTTGGTCTCCTGCTGATTCAACGGGGACGATTTTAACGCACAACCAGCCTTTCGATATTTATTCCATCAAGCACAGCTGCGGGCCGCACCCTTACATTTGCCTAAATTTCGATTTTAGAAAGGTACTAAACACTTATTCCATCTCGGAATGATACACGCAATAATCCGTTTCAGATTCAAGGCGAATATACCGAGTATTCGCTAAAAGCGGTACCGATAACTAACAAGAACATAAAGGAAAAGGCCGAGCTGTTGCTGGAACAGTACGCCCGAACGGGCTCCCTATTTACACACAATACTGTCCTGATGCCTCTGGGAGACGATTTCAGATACAATGTTAAAGAGGAGTGGGATCAGCAGTACACGAATTACATGAAACTCATTAATTACATAAACGGGCACAGCGAAAAATATAAAGCAGAGATTACTTTCGGTACCCCTGCTATGTACTTTGAAGTAAGCACTCACTAACTCATTTAGTTTCGTTTGTATTATAATATAATTTTTGTAGGAAATTACAAAGAGAAATGCACAATTTCCAACGTTAAAAGGAGACTTCTTCGTCTACTCGGACATATTCGCGGAAGGTAGACCGGCGTATTGGTCGGGTTATTACACCACCAGACCCTTCATGAAGCTCTTAGACCGCGAGCTGGAAAACAGCTTGCGAGCCGCCGAAATTATCTACACCTTCGCCCTGAACAAAGCGAAGCAAAACAAATTAAACACCGACTCCAAATTGCTCGAACGAGATTTCGAAAAGTTGATCCGAGCTAGAAGAAACTTAGGTAACCAACATCGCTTAACTCACCGTGCATTTAATCTACTTAACGTTTATTATTGCAGCTCTATTCCAACACCACGACGCCATCACGGGCACGAGTAAATCGTTCGTTATGCGAGACTACGGGCTGAAGTTGTTCGAAGGCGTCAGGGACACGGTGAACATCCAGCAGAACGCGCTGCAGAGCCTGCTCTTCCCGGGCGTCCCGGCCATCCCGGACCACAATCTCATCCTGAGCGATTTGGAGCGAGACTCCTTCGAAAAGCAACCGAGGAAGACCCCGATTCAAATCTCCTCGAGCGGCGTCAATCGCTATAGAAAAATTCTAATCTACAACTCGCTGGCTATCCCGCACGAGCAACTTATACAAGTAACTAAATAATTCAATTAAATAATTGCTTGTTATGATAACGTGGTTTTTAGGTGAGAGTTAATACTAGCAACGTTAGAGTAACGGATCACGAAGACAAGCCGGTGCTGTACCAAATCAATCCGGTGTGGGACGTGTCCGAATACACCACTCTTTATTTGTCTGCGGACGAGTACGAAGTGGCCTTTATCGCAAAACTCCCGGAGTTATCGGTGGCGACTTTCAATTTGATGTACGATGATTCCTCGCAGGGAAAACTGGCCACTATTTATTGCAAGAACTGCCGCAAATCGACCACTATAATTAGCAACGAGAACAACGCGGCAGGGGAGGTTGTAAAATCCAAGTTCGATATTAAAGATATACCGCAAGGGGATATCCAGCTGGAAAGTAGCAAGATGAAAGTAAGTTTACTCACCACTTTACGTTGTAGTTATTATTACTGTATTATTTGTTGTAGGTTTTATTTAGCGGTAGTACTGGGTTTATGAAGAGTATTACGAGGAAGCACAATCCGAAAATTATGCAATGCGGTATTCAATTTGCTGCGTACAGGAGCGCTCAATTCCACTCCGGTGCTTACTTGTTCATGCCAGATCCCAACGAAAGAGAATACGAAAAGGACGTTCTAATCCAATACAAAGACCAGAAAAGCATCGTTATCAGCACAGGTAGAACATGCGGAAAATTCCATTAATAAATCTCTCATTTTTTTACGCTTTGCAGGTTTATTATCCACGGAAATATCCGTTATATACGGCCCGTTTTTAGTCCACACCGTCACGGTGTTTCTCGATGAAAACTCGACGTTGTCTAATGGGATTTTCATCGAGAACGTGGTGGATTTCGAAAATCCCCCGAAAAACAGGGAAACCGAATTATTCATGAGAATCATTTCCGACGTCCAGAACGGCGAGCCGCCCGAGTTCTACTCGGACCTCAACGGCTTTAGCATGCAAAAGCGGATCAAAATCGAAAGAATAGGTAATTGCTAAACCCGGATTACCGAAGCGTTCTAAACCGTCCGTTTTTTTAGGCTTGGAAGGCAATTATTTCCCATCGACGACGATGGCGTACATTCAGGACAATAAAGTTCGGTTGAGCTTGCTGCTCAACCACGCGCAAGGCGTGGCGAGCTGGCAACCCGGCTATTTAGAGGCCATGCTCGACCGGAGGACTCTCTACGACGATTCCAGAGGAATGGGAGAAGGTTTGGTGGACAATAGAAAAACCACCAGTAAATATTGGCTGCTAATCGAAGATATATCGCAAATCAAAACGGACAAAAACCCACAACAAAACCGATTCGACAACGTCGAAGATCCTTACGATAAAGAGGATGTTGTAAGGTATGATAATTTGTGAAAATTGTCTAAGTGGGACTTTAAGATGCGTTTGATAATACATAAACTGTCAAAATTGGTATTAATGACATTTCGAATGACATTTAATAGAGGTGGGAACAGTTTTTTGGTATAGAGGTGCAGTAACGACTGTTACAAAATAACCGTTATTTTTCAAATATCGTACTCTACTCCTACCAACATTGAGGCAGGTTTTTTGTTACATTTACCGAATTTCCGCAGGTCCTTTAACGTCCCGACGGAAGCCACGGAGTCTTCGAAAACCGACGCCTTCTCCAGACCGTCGCTGTTCGCCAACCATTTATCCAACGCTCTGAACTACCCGGCGGGCGTTTTCATCGTGGATTCCGAGCACGAACACTCGATAAGCAGCCTGATCAAATTCGTAAACAAACCGTTCCCCTGCGACGTGCACTTGTTGACTCTGCGCACCCAGCCTGACCCGGTGTACTCGCAGTTCCCGTCGCCCAGCGCGCTGATGGTGCTCCACCGCCAGGGCCACGAATGCCACGTTAGCGGCAATTACACTTGTGATATAGATAAGTTCGACGAAGACATTAGTTTCGAATTGGTGAGCGTGAGGGAATTGGAAGCCAAAAGTTTGACCGGATTGAATTCAGTCGAGGGATTGAAGAGGTTCGGAGACATTCGCTTGGATTCCATGTCTTTGAAAACCGTTAACGTTACTTTCGGTTAGATTAAATGTGGTTTTCATTGTATTATCCGCAATAATCGAGAAGGATTTATTTAATATTGCGAGGATGGGTTATGGAAGGGTTGTTTTTGGTTCTTTGTCTCGATTTTACACTAAATGATATCAAAATTGATTGTAGATAATTGTATATAGAAAGAACTGTAGGGATTTTATTCTAGCATAATAGTGGTAAGTTTGTTTTTAATTTGTTTTTGAAATGCTCGAAATTCTATTGTTGTTCCATTACATTCAAACATTGTTCTTGCCTTGCATTTGTTTCGAATCACTGCGATGTTTTACGCCTACAATATCCGTTTTTTAATCAATTAGGATTAGTACTTGAATTATTACGACAATGTTTGGATACAAATCTAAAACTGTACAATTTGCTGCGGGGAGAAATGTTTCTCAGTAGCATCTCGGTTTATTTTAATGTAGTAGATAATGCGGGAAATTGTGATGTTATATTTATGTTTTTATTTATAATTTACGGAATTAACTCTGCCTGGATAGTGTGAACTGGAAAGGCAACTAAGTTAGAGAATTATCGCAGCTGTTTGTTACAATCGATGTATTTATGTGGATATTTTAAGGTTTTATGTTTAAATTTAAACTAATTGAGATTTTGTTGCTTGTCCGAGCGGTCGAGTTCGTACAGGAATTCCTATTGATGATTCCCATTGTGATTATATAATTTTATCCTAGTAGAATTAGTAAAATGTTCGTAAACTTTTGCGAGATCTACGACTGATGCATTGGTCTCTATTGTGAATTTATTGTAGGATTTTTGTAAATTTATTTTTATTTTGAAAAATAAAAGTTTTATCGAATTTTTTTAAAATAATAAAAGCGCGAATTTTGCTACCTAATATTCCAAATAGAAACGAAAGTCTATGAAAAATTTCACTTTCTACGTCACAGGCATGGCAAGTAGAGAGCGAAATCGAGGAAAGCTCTGGAAAACTCCAATAATACAAGTCGGCTATGGTTGGTGGCAGACTGGTTGCCTAGCAACTTTGTTGTCAAGCACCGAAGCGCATGAGAATCAGAGCCTTCCATGTCGGCTACATCCAAGTTCAACACAAATATCGTTGTGCAATCGGTTCGAAGGAATTATGGCGAGTCGCGTTGTTTTCGTGCGTAAAACCTAAAATCGTAATGCTATGGGTGAGATAATCGCTTTGAAAGTATATGACAAGTGTTTCGAGCGTTACATTTTAGTAAATCGCCGTTCTTTCGACCACAAAATGGATTTTACAAGTTCGCGATAATGGACTATTTCGACGCCAGTTTCTTGTACATCACCGGATGCGAGGATGTCCTACAAGACGACAGGTGCGTATTTCGGCGTCAATCAATCGAATATCTTATATTATTATTAAAAATAATTTGAATGAACCGCTTAGTATCCATCATCGAGTGTTGGTTTTCCAGTGTAGATGGCGCCACCGCTTAAGTCGAAATTTTGACAGTTCGTCGGATTTTTTTTCAGAAAACGGGGTATTATCGAATGTCCTTTTGCAATGCGGGATTATCGTTGGAGTGTTTTCGAAAAATAATTAAAGCGAAGTATAGAAATCACGTAAAAATTACAGGTGTACGTCAGTCTCATGTTCATGTTTTGCCCCTAACCTTGAATGCAGCCAATGAACGATCGAGTCTCGGTCTAGCGACCAATAGCGACGTTCGTTTTACCAGGGTCAACAAATTCTTGTGAAATAGCCGAGTTTTCTGGGCGGCCATGTTGAAAACAACCTTCAATAGACGTGTGTTCGAAAAACATTATTTTCTCGTGTTTTTTCGAAAAATATAACGTAATCGTCGGTTTGAGTGTTCATTATAGTTTCGTTTTGGATTTTAACAGTTAAGTGTCGCTTTGTTGGACGTCGTTTTAAAGACAACAATCATGTTTTGATATCACGAGACCTTGAGTTGTGTTTGGCTTCTTCACTAATCTTTTTTGGAGGTTCCTAGATTAGACCCATTATGTATTTCTTTGATGAAGGTAAGTTTTCAATCGTTTTATTGCATCTGTTAATTACTGGCACGTACATTCCCATTTCCCAACGAACTGGATCTGATTAAAGTCGATCAGTCCTAAAAGATAGGTTAGGTTGTGTATTTTGTAGGATGGTGATTGTAAAATGATATTGTACACAAATAGGTGAGTTTGCTTAAATCGATTTCTAATCTGTTTTTCGTATTTTCGAAGACATGGCACTGTGGCGTGATAAATATATTGTTGTAAATAAATTAAGTAGAATATTAGGTTACATTAGCAATGATAAATAATCTAGGTAACCACCTAATTTGAAATCGGTATTAGAAATGAAACGAGTGTGATAATTGATAAGCTTCTAGTATGATACACTTGATGTTCTTCTGTAAATTAATTGCATTTTTGGGTTCTAGTTTCCATCTAGTCTAATTTTTTACCATTCCATAGTTTCTTTTACTTGTTTCAAGATTATCAAAGATGTCCTGATTTCTCAGTTCTTGGGAGAATTCATAATTCTACTATCTCCGAAGGGCCTTTGGTCAATATCTTGAATATATTCAAATATTCATAACATTTTACATTTAATGATATCAATTTATTGATATCAATTTTTACACATTTTCTCTACGAATTAATAGAGAAGACCAACTGTTTCTTTTAAACATGATAAAATTTTTCCATACTTGTTAATATATTTACATTTTCCCCTTTATTTTGCATAAATAAACCGTTTTTAATAACGACTTGACAATATTTTTTCCCTTTGCTGGAATATTTTATTTTAATGGACATCAAGAATTTAATCTATTTGATACTAATATTACTCACCTATGTATCCTGAACACACCTGCCCTGTTTTATGCCTATATCTTAGTCTTTATACCTGTTATTTGAACCATATTTTGTATCACACAAGTCTATTTTAAAATTCCACTAGAGATATTTTCACAAATTATCTTCATAGAAAGGTTTTTTTGGAGCAAATATTCAACTATTTAAAGAGTTTCAACTAAGTTTCCTTCTTCTTTCCTCATAATGAATTTTATAATCAATCTTTCACTTAAAATGATTAAATCATTACACGGTAAATTGAACACAAAAAACACATGTATTGAAAAGGAGAAGACATAAAAGTTTCGACGATTTTTCGCCACCTTTCAATGCATTAGTTCAGATAATAAATCATCGTATCGGCCGTATGCCTGGTTTATTTATGACGTCCATTACCATCCTAAGGTTATGTAGTTCATCGAATGGCTATCTCGTCGAAACACATTCATTGTGTCGTTTTCCGCGGCACGTTTTTCGTTTGAAACATTTATTCGGATCATTACATCTCGACTCTCGAAGCTCATTAAGGAGACAAGGGAAGGAGGCCTTAAGATCCTAGAATTATCTTGCGATGACTGTTTCGTTATTTTCTCGCGACATTTAACACGAATCTAATTTGACGTACCTACAGATCGGAAAATTGCTTTTGTATTTATATAAATATATATTTTTTTATGTAATCGTATTATTGGGTATTACGTTATTCAGGACGGCTTTGACGTTCTTCCTGTTACCTTGAAATTGACGAATTTTCGAATTTCAACGGTAATGACGTTTTTATGTAAAACAGTGCGTTCTTTAATGCGGGGTCACGTATTTATGGTCTTTCGATGCGGGCTTACTTATTACAACTGAATACTAACGATAGGATATTAAACGAGCCGTAATAATTATAAAATAATGTTTGCGTTATTGATTTCTTGGTCTTGATATACCGCACGTACAATGAGTAAAGGCCGATGTGTTTAAGCACTTCACTTTCGGTATACGGAGAGGTTTGTTTCCCCGTCGAGAAACTCCGCTAAAAGCGTACGTGAAAATAATCCCCGTCGATTCCGACAACGTTTTTCGCTTTGATTTTCTCGCCGAACCGACGTCGAAAAGTTGTTCCTATACTCCCTGGGCGATACGTATCGATATACGTGTGTAATCGAAATGCCGTTTTTCGAATTCGACGAAGCGCCTACGGCCAATGCATTACAATTCACAACATTAGCTGACGATATCCGTTCTCTTGGCGTGGTCGAAAAAAAAATATATATCTAGGTCGACATTTTGGGGCGAGTCGATTATTTTATTAGGTATAGCGTGTGTCGAGTGTGCAGATAACGGACATTATCGAGCACCCTGTATAAAAAAACTATATTCAATTGCCCAAAAAGGAACACTTCCTCTATAGGGAGAATTTCTAAAGTACCTACTACAGTCAATTTGCTTATTATAAAACGAATTTCCAATTCATTGTTCCATTAATATCCTATTGAGTAAGTTAAGTTCTATTATATTACAGAAATGGCGTTTATCATGGGACTCTGGAATAACCCGTATATCAAATTGTAATCCGAGATTGATTGTTACGGGTTTTTCGATGCACGGGCGATTTTTTATTCGTTGATTTGAATTCGGTTCTCTCTTTTTTATTTTCCGAGTTTTGCGTGTGAGTGTCGAAACAAATCGATTCGATGTCACCGTGATTGATCGTTCGGGAATGGTGCTTAACATATTTTTTTTTTGTCGAAAACGTGCGAGTATTAGACAATTGAATTTAATTAGCGTCGAGTTTGGCTATACTTGTCGATTGGGTTAATTAAAGCGGATCGGATTTAAGAGGAATGTAGGTATACGAAAAAGGGAAGAGAAAAATCGGTTTTTTGAACATGATACGTCCAATTATCAGCTGTGTTAGTTTGCAGGAAATTGCCTTAGATTAGCATAATTACTTTCATAAAGCAACAATTAAGAGCTATCGCTACATCTGGATTCACACGCCTGACGTCATTTGGTTTGTTGCAAAACAGAAAACTGTATTGTAATTAGATACATGTAAATAAATGTGTTTTTTCACGAATATGAATGAAATCGAGAAAATATTCTTCGTTCCTGTAACATTCACTTTAGTTTTCATTGTTGGCGTTATACTCAAAAACTCGGATCTAATTTATTACTTTTATAAATCGACTTTTTCCTCCTTGTATCTAAGCGACACATAAAACGAATCTCTTTCAAATCTCTGCTCTGACTATTGTAAAATCTTTATGGTTCATGTAGATGTCGCGGTTAAAAAACTTGCAAGTAATCCATTTAAATTGTATCTGGTACGGTGCTGTAGGTTTTTGTGGCGGCGAGCTTAGAATAAATGGAAAACCTACTAAAAATCCATTCCTTTAAAGGAGGTCTATTACTTGTGATGAAATTTTCAAAGGCGAGGGGATTGGCAAAATTTAATTAATATCGTAAATTTCATATAAACTTCTAGCTAAACAGCTAAGTGAAGTTTTCGTTTAAATAATATAAATGCTTGAATTAAATTTTAACTGCATTTACTTTGTTTAGTTAACTTATATTGTAATGAAAACACACTTTATTATGAATTTTCTCGCTTTCCCGTTCACGCACGAATTTATTGATCGCATGCAAAATAAACACGCAGTCGAAGGGCTCACTTTTTCAATAAAAATGTTAATCAAGTAAATTAACGGAGCGGCAAGTAAAATTGAAAAACTGCGAAAACGAGCGTTTTTTTAGGAATAAAACGCAAATGACGTCACTGTGTTATATAGCGAGTGCGTGCTAAGGAGATAGACAAGTTATTAGGCAATTGTCACGTAACACCCACCGCTACGTGTCTGGTCGTATTTGACTTGGGATCTCCCGATAATAACCGAAATTGATGATTCTCGTCGTTGTAAGTGCGTCGTGGAAAAAAATGGAATCGCGCACTTTACCTCGAGATGATGCTGTTTGCGTTGAAAGCACGAGAAGAAAATGGATATAAAAGGTAGAAGGATTTCGGATCGGCTAATCTATGCCTAACAGGTGTTTTCGTGTAAACGATGTTACGGAACCTCGAATATAACTTACCTACATACATTTATTTTTAATTCGAAAATTATTCGTTTAAGTATTTCTTTTTTTCTAATGGATCGTTAGGTTTATTTTTCTGTAAAATTTTTATCGTACCAGAAATGTCTCGCTTTCGTATTTTGCTTCATTTAAAATTTGAATTTAAGTGCCTAACCACTGTAATTTGTAATCACATTACAATTAATATTATCATTACAATGAAAGTAAATCGATACAAACGAAAGTAATTGAGAGAAATATAACGTTAGAAGGGTTAGAACAATACGGGTACATTTGACTTTCACTCTTTACCACACGATTCATTCATCTACATATTATTCGCAAGTTTATGTAGGTAAAGTGTCTTTGGATGTCGGCCTGTAGTGGTAAATAGCAGGTAGAGGAGTATTGTCGCATATTACAAAATAAACGATTTTGTTAC